TCTTGAGCCCTAAACACCATGACTACACGCAGCATCATATTGTTGAAGTTTCTACATATACTGATTTAAAATAAAAAAATCTCCCAGGAATTCCAGGGTCAGGGAGGTCTCTGTAAGTCAATGCTGATATGGTACTTCCAGCTGTGTTGTTGTTGCTGCTGTTATGGCAAATATGTATTTTATTGTATTTTCATAGTTTCAAAAAAAGAGAAAGAAAATGAAAAGAACACAAATGCAACTCACATTCCTTCACATTCTCTTAGTGTGTTATACAGAGTCACACATTGACTTCATCAGTTAACTAGTAAAGAGTGAGTTAACTGCCAACGTTTGCAAATTATCTCATCGAGGAATTCTTTCTTTCTCCCGCCCTCCTGTGTGCAGGCATCAGTTCTGGTCTTGCTCTTTTTCTGTAAGATTACCATGTCCAAAGGATTTTTTAACGTCAGACTTCTCACCAAAGTAATATTTAGGAAAGAACAGAGGATAATGGTCTTAGGTGTACTACTTAAAGCAATTTTCTTACAGACAATGTCCTTCCACTTGACTGAGAAGACACTCAGTTGAATGAAGTACATTTTATGTGTTGGATGATCAAACAATCTAGATGAAAATTTGTAGGGGGAAGGGCCTCCAGCACACAGACTAACATGTTTGTCTGTTTGATTATTAACCAATTAGAGGGGAGTATTGTTGTTCCCGGGCTTGGGAAACTCCACCCCTGTTTTCTGCCCCTTCTAGCCATGAGGTGATTGAACCTCCATCTTTGTCCACCATTCTTGCACACATTTTTCAAGATGTAACATCTCCACGGTTGGCTCTCTGAGCCTAGATTCCTCTCCAGCCACATGGGCTAAAGAGAAGAACATTATCTTTGCTATATTTCTTTTCTGTATCAAGCTGAAACCTTAAGAATGATTACCCATGTGAGTGCAATACAGAATTCTTTAATATAAAAACAGCCTCCTGTGTGTTATTCCTAAGTGCTAGTGTTTGGCGAGGGTCGGGTAGTAAAAAGGGGAACTTCTAGCTAATGTTGCCCAACCAGCCGGCACTTCCTGCTGCACATTTTTGTGGAATTCAAGCGAGTTCCCATAACTCTCAACATTACGTAGGGCAATGCCCTCAGTTCAACAGTGCACACTTTTAGGGTCAACCTCTTAAAGGTCTTTCTTTAAAAGAGAAAAAGCCAGGGGCTTATCCACCTGGAAATTCTTGCTGTCTTGAGCTTGGCCAACTGAAATGAATGGCAGTTAAGGATACGATAGTACAGTTTTAGTGGGGGTTGATGAAGGTTTCCAACCTTGGGTCCCCAGATGTTCTTGGACTAAAACACCCAGAAGCTGTGCTGGCCAGGATTTCTGGGAGTTGTAGTCCAAGGACATTTTGGGACCTGAAGTTGGGAACCACTGCCAGAACTTATTTCCAGAACTATTTTACTAGGGTTCCAGACTCACTTTTCTCTAAAGTTATTGCAGTTAGAATATTCGCAATGGACAGAGAACAGAGCTATCATATCTTTAATCGTGGTGTATAAAATGTCATTTCAGGAGCTGTTACTTGCATGGCAAGCTACACCTGACAACATCTCCTCTTTTACACAGCTGTTCAATGTACAGTACAGCTGTTGTTCATTTTTTTTTTTTGGTGTTTGCTCACACCAGAGAAACACCTCTTCTGTGCTCAGTGTTACTTCCAAATGTGTTTCCAAGCTTAATTCGAGCTTAATTTTAAGGCTCTGAACAGTTTTGAACCAGATTGTCTGCCTGGACCAGGTTAGATAGTCCTATACCCATATTAACTGCCTGCACCTTCCCCCCCAAATGCCCTACATAACATGGAAAGCTAGCTACAGGGCAGTGGGGCATCTATAGGCACCACGCTGGGGAGCCCCTTAACCCTGGAACCAGTCCTGTCTCCAGGGGAATGTGGCAAAACCAGCATAGACCATAGTTATGCATCTATTTTTGCATCAGTCTTTGCTCCTTCTTGTCCTGTTTTACCTGTTTCATCCTGTGGGAGTTTTGCTCAATGGCCATGCATGAAGAAGCGCCACACCACGGCATTGACTTGTAAAACCTAGTGATACTTAAGCAAATTCTAGTCTTTTTAGCAACAACGGAGGCTCCCAGTAGGGGAATTTTGAAAGTGGAGGCCTCTTCAGTCTCACAAGTCCTCCCAAGGGTGCCATTGCTGAGCAGAGTCCAGCTAGTTAGTTCAAGCAGGGACCATGGAGCAACTCACAACAGATGTGCAAGCCTATAATGAGCTCCAGAAGCAAATCAGCTGCTTAGTGCAAACCCGACTCTCAATAAACACTGGCTCCAGATGAAGGACAGCAAAATTTTGCTCATTGCTATATTTTGATTTCATCATGTCTGCCAGTTTTACGGCCATTTTGAGAATACACGTTCTCTGCAGACTCCCTTTAATCCTGAATGCATTGCTTGCACTGGTTATCGGAAAACTTGTTCTGGCTAATCGTTCATTGTGTTCAGCGTTAGGTCAGCTGGTGCTCACTGCATCAAAGTGATCATTACTATCTCTTGTCTTTGTGATAAAACCATTCCCAGTGAAGCTCAATGCATTGATTTATTCAAATCTCTTCCAACCTGCTTTAAAATATTGATAACTGCCAGAGATTTCCTCTGTAGTGGAACAGATTGAGGAAGGAGCTAAATTACTGGTTGTCCATTAAATAGGCATCTGCAAGTTGACGCCCGCTGTTTCAGCCCTGAGATCTAAGATTTCAAGAAAAGTCTCCCTCAAAAGAAGGTAACATATGTACAGTATTGCATTCTAGAGACCATACAGGCATACAGGCCTTTTTTAGATTTGCTGTAATCTTTAGCTGGTTGGATAGCTCAGTGAGTTAGGCAGCTGGCTGTGGACCCAGAGGTTGGGAAATCAGTTCCCTCCCCATTGTGCTTCATAGAAAAACCAGCCTGTATGGACTTGGGCAAGTTGCACAGTCCCAGGGTGCCCCCAGAAGAAGGGCATGGTAGACCACTTCGGAGTACCTAAAAAAACCTCTGAAAAGGGTCACTATAAGTCAGAATTGACTTGATGGCACACAATTATTAATTATTATAATTCCTTATTCATTACCACCAAAGTAGTAAGGAATCCAGCAAAAAACAGCACATGTTGGCTGTAGGATTCATTGCAACCGACAAGAACCCATGCTCAGTGGTAAAGAGGTGATAAGAACAGTGCACCTTAGCTACTGGCTTCAGAAGGTGAAGGGAGGGCACTGTTTGGATGTGTGGATTCCACTAAGATCCATGTCCTTCACTTCATAACTGATTATTTATATATGGCTCCAACGCCTTTTGTATTACATGAATCTTATTTCTTGCAGATTATTCCACTAGATTAAGGGCACTGGGGAGGGTGGTGTGAGGGTCCTTTTCCTCCCTCGGAGCCAACCCTAGGCCTTTTTCTTGACATTGCAACAGCAATCAGCATGAATCAGTCAGCTCCCTGATATTTTGAACACTTCAACTTATTGCTTTCTGATTCTTGCTATGGCCATCATATTTTGGGAGATAAGCCTTAACATGCCCGGCTAGTAAAAGAGACATAAGGCCTAGCTTGGGAATCAAGAAGCATCCTTGAATCCATGTCAGCCTATGGGACCACCAGTAAAGAGTGGGATGTAGAAGAGTGGGTGGCCAAGTGCAGCCAGTGGCAGCATACCGACCTCCAGCATCTCTTGGAGATGCCTCAAACTTGTCACACTCCCACAACATTTTTAAAAAATGAAAAGTGGGTATTTTTGTTATTAGTTTAAAAAATATTTTCAAGTGTGTGACTTCTTTGCAGGAAGGGAAGGACTCCCATAAGCACTGTGATCAAGGCTCCTGCTAGGACAGTGGTTCCCGACCTTGGTTAACCCAGGTGTTCTTGGACTACATTTCCCAGAAGCCTTCACCACTAGCTGTGATGGCCAGAATGTCTGGGAGTTGTAGTCCAAGAACATATGGGGACCCAAGGTTGGGAACCACTGCATTAAAAGAAACAAAACAGTGGTGATTCCTCTTGCAGCCACATCTGTCACCTCCCTCACTGTTCCAGAGGGAGCCCCAACTATTCAAGGCAGATCTCAGTGGGGAGGAGGAATGGAGAAACAGTGCTCCCCTTTCTTCCCACATTGGGAGCCATCGGTTGTTAGAAAGCTTACTATTTCTTTAAAGAGTATTAGATTTCACAAGGGAACAGAGGATAATGGTCTCAATCCAGAGGGAGCCCCAACTATTCAAGGCAGATCTCAGTGGGGAGGAGGAATGGAGAAACAGTGCTCCCCTTTCTTCCCACATTGGGAGCCATTGGTTGTTAGAAAGCTTATTATTTCTTTAAAGAGCATTAGATTTCACAAGGGAACACAACCACTTAAAGCAATTTTCTTACAGACAATGTCATTCCACTTGACTGAGAAGACATTCAGTTGAATGAAGTACAATGGTGCCTCGCATAGCGACGATAATCAGTGCAGCAAAAATCACTGCAAAGCGATTTTGTTGCTATGCAACACTGAACATATGCAATCTGGTCTGATTTTGACATCTATGCAGGATTGGGCCTGGTTAGTAGTAGGACTGGACACTACCAGAGAATACAAGGGCTCTTCAGGTACAACTAGGAAAAAAAATCTCGCCTGAAAACCTAACAGAGGTCCTTCAGTCAAAGTTAACCATATTGGGCCAGATGGACCAAGATTCCTGACTTGGTATAAGGCAGCTTCCTATGTTCTTTCACTGGGAATATCCTGTGGATAAAGTTTTGGGTTGCTGATCTGGTGCCCCAAATCTTTCATGATACAACAGAAATATAATCTTTTTAAAAACAAGGACACTATTAAGCAGCGGGCAGTGGGAAGCGACTGCACATGATTAGACAGATGTGTACTAGGAAAATTTGCAGAGTTCGTATGACTTCCCCCCTTCTTTTCTGTGTTGACGAACTAAGAATTTGCCGTGATCTGCCAGCATGTGCCTTACCACTGAGTGAGGCTGCACGTTGATGGATAAGCCAGTTTCATCCAAGTCTCAGGGAGATTGTCACAGAAGAGAGCTGTCTGTAGCTGCTCCATCTCAGCAGAGATTGCCAACTCACCCTAACAAAAGAAAACATTAGTGTGCTATTTGCGTCTCACATAGAGACTGTGATAAGTTGACATGATAAATGATAGAGGGCTCTTTTCTTTTCCACAGTAAAAACACATAAGGTAGCTGAATTGTCAAATATAAAATTGGGGTGAGTCATTTATTACAAAGGGTTGAAATGATCATACAAATAGGAGTGCCGCTTTCCGTCTCCTCAGCATCTCTCAAATAACAACCACCATCTCCGTAGAGAATTATGCACAACAAGGATGCATATATTACTTAATAAACCTGAATAATCAATGCCCCTAACTCTTAAGTGACAATAAAAAGTTAGCCAATGGGCATAACATTTTGTGTTTCCTGCCATTCAAAATCACAAAGAAAGATGGAATCTCAAGGTGTTTAAAAAAATAAATATGTTTTATTCATTAGAACAGTCTGGCATGTTTCACTAGATTGTTTTGTGGCCTTCCTTAGGGGTTCCATTCAGAAGAATAAAAGGAACAATACGGCTGTTAGAATCATAATGACTGCAATCCTACGACATCCAAAATAAAACCAGCGAGCCTCAGATTGCCTTAGATATTTTTCTTATATAAAGCTTAGGAGAGGGATATCTAATTGCAGAGATCACAGAATGACTGCTGAGGTGGTAACATGTCTAAGAGTGTAATCTTCCTGAGTCCTGTGGTCAACAAACTCAGTCTCTGTGCAGGTATCTTGACAGTAAATGTGAGCACTGCAATGGAGGTGTCTGTTTATGTTTTCTAAACTCACTCTGGAGAAGCACATCCCTGATGTTTTCTCTTCTTTTGAAGGTGATCAGAGCTTTCTGCTAGCAACCATCTCTGTTTCTCAAACTGTGTCAGTACCTTCTTTATGCTGCCTTGCAGCCTATGCAGGTTATACAGGTAAAAGTCAAATTGCATTCCACACAAATTCATCACTTTTTTTCTTTTTTAAAAAAGATCTTCACATATAGATTTAGCCGCTTCAGAGATTATTTGAACAATATGTTTTGGACAGCCTCTCTTTCTTAACTGATTACTTAATGCCTCTCTTTCTTCACAATTAAAAAGTGGATTTGTATCTTATGTTGATGGATGTGAAACGGGATCACTTCTGCAGTTTGCCGACCTACAAACAAACCAACAAACTGGTCCTAAAGCATTATTTATTCTTTCCCTCCAGAGTTTTAAAAATATCTGCATACAGTATATCACAGAAGTGAGTACACCCCCTCACATTTCATAAATATTTTAGTATATCTTTTCATGTGACAACACTGAAGAAATGACACTTGGCTACAATGTAAAGCAGCGAGTATACAGCATGTATAACAGTGTAAATGTGCTGTCCGCTCAAAATAACGCAACACACAGCCATTAATGTCTAAACCGCTGGCAAGGTGTGAAGGAGGATCAGGTGTTATCGCTCTCACTCTCTCTGACTGGTCACTGGAAGTTCCACATGGCACCCCACGGTAATGAACTATCTGAGGATCAGAAAAAAAAATGAATTGTTGCTCTACATAAAGATGGCCTAGGCTATAAGAAGATTGCCAAAACCTTGAAAGTGACCTGCAGCACAGTGGCCACGAACATACAGTGGTTTAACAGGACAGGTTCCACTCAGAACAGGTCTCATCATGGTCGACCAAAGAAGTTGAGTGCCTGTGCTTGTGTCATATCCAGAGGCTGGCTTTGGGAAGATATATGAGTGCTGCCAGCATTGCTGCAGAGGTTGGAAGGGGGGGGGTCAGCCTGTTGGTGCTCAGACCATATGCTGCAAATTGGTCTCCAGGGGTGTCCCAGAAGGGAAGCCTCTTCTAAAGATGATGCACAAGAAAGCCCACATACGGTTTGCTGCAGACAAGCAGACGAAGGACATGGATTTCTGAAATTATGTCCTGTGGTCCGATGAGACCAAGATAAACCTCTTTGGTTCAGATGGTGTCTGCATGTGTGGCGATGCACACAGACAAGTATGTTGTGCCTACAGTCAAGAATGGTGGTGGGAGTGTCATGGTCTGGGGCTGCATGAGTGCTGCTGGCAGTTGGGAGCTACAGTTCATTGAGGGAACCATGAATGCCAACATGTATTCATGAACATGATCCCCTGCCTTTGGAGAATGGGCTGCAGGGGAGTATTCCAACATGATAACAACCCCAAACACACCTCCAAAATGACCACTGCCTTGCTAAAGAAGCTGAGGGTAAAGGTGATGGACCGGCCAAGCATGTCTCCAGACCAAAACCCTATTGAGCATCTGTGGGGCATCCTGAAATGGAAGGTGGAGCTGCGCAAGATCTCTAACATCCACCAGCCCTGTGATGTCATCATGGAGGAGTGGAAGAGGACTCCAATGGCAACCTGTGAAGCTCTGGTGAACTCTATGCCCAAGAGGGTTAAGGCAGTGCTGGAAAATAATGGTGGCCACACAAAATATTGACACTTTGGGCCCAATTTGGACATTGTCACCTACGGGTGTACTCACTTTTGTTGCCCGTGGTTTAGACATGAATGGCTGTGTGTTGTGTTATTTTGAGGGAACAGTACATTTACACCGTTGCACAAGCTGTATACTCTCTGCTTCGCATTGTAGCCAAGTGTCATTTCTTCAGTGTTGTCACGTGAAAACATATACTAAATATTTATGAAATGTGAGGGGGGTGTACTCACTTCTGCGATATACTGTTAGTCCCTTGGAGGGTCCAGAGAGTTAAAAGCAAAGTATGCGTACCTTAAGACCTAGATCAAGTTCCTTGAGAGAACGCCTTATCTCATGTATTAGAATATTCATTCTCTCGCATTCTTGAAAACAAACCAGAATGTATGGAGTGCGTTCAGCACTTTTAGAGGTAATGTCCGCCATGTTATAGCCATCTGGAAGCTTCTCTTGTATGTCATCTATTATCACTTTCACCTACAAGAGACAGGAGAGATGGCAGCAAAAGTTTCATTGGGCTCTACGTTTTGGAAGGTGCAAAATTTAGAGAGCCTAATTTCTTCTTTCAAATAGTTATTGCACTTCAGCTTTTAAGATGGCTTTAGCCATACGTCTTGGACTCTGACTAAACACACATAAAAAGAAACCAAAACCAAATCTATGGGACAGTTTATTTTCTACTCTAACATTCCATGAGGGCCTTCTTTTCATCAAGCAGCTGTGCTGTGTGTAGAACAGAGAATCACAGCTGGTTCTGTGCAGACATATTTTAAAAGACTTGAAAGGAACTTGGCTATCCAGAAAACAAGCAGAGTTAAATAAAACAGGCAGCAACAGAACTACATACTCCTCTGTGTCCTTATTATTCTGTAGCATTTTTAAAGGCATCGCTGTTTCACCTGATAGTTTGTGGGCTTGTGGGAATGCACAGAAATCGCCACGTTAGAACATGTGTGTGTGTGTGTGTGTCTGTCTGTCTGTTTCAGGATCAGGATGCCTGGGTTTCTTTTGGGGCAGGAGGCTAGACGCAGCTGGGGGTAGGAAGGAGAGTTTTTCTCCCCTGCGAGACCGAACCCAAGAAAGCAGGGACAACTTGGGTAGCCCCACCACTTGCTCCCCTTCCCTCAAGTTCTGCAATATCCCTCCCCCTCCCCACCCAATCTATTTTTAATGGGCCTAGCTAAAGTGTTTAAAAGTGTTCGGAGGGAATCAATCTCCCCCCCCCACATGCTCTGGCTTCAGCCCTACACCCTTTGGGCCCCTCCCTCTCTCACCCACAGGGCAAGGATTGGCTTTTGTCTCCCTTCTCCTCTCTTTTGTCTGCCCCATAATCTTTGCCTTTCCATTCCCTGTTCCTCTCCTCCATCTCTCCCACAACCCCAAAAGGAGTCCTGGAGGGGCTGAGTTAGGGGGTGCAATACGTGCCTTGCCCCGGGTGCTGGCAACCCGCGCTATGCCACTGCCCGGTCTGATACTTGAGAGCTACTAAGCCTGCTGTGGCCATTAATCATCTTCCATTGAATCCGTCTAACCAGGCTAAAAGGGTTGGTTAAAGATGGTTGAGATTCTTTGTGTAATGAGCGGATTAATGTAAACAAAGAATTCTTTTCCCTCAATTTTCCTATCAGTTTTTATTTAAAGAGACACTGAGTATGGAACAAGTATAAAGAAGAGAAAGGAAATAATAAGAGAAACTCAGCTTGAACCAGAAATAACAGGGTGTGTTATCTATCTATCTATCTATCTATCTATCTATCTATCTATCTATCTATCTATCTATCTATCTATCTATCTATCTATCTATCTATCTATCTATCTATCTATCTATCTATCTATCTAATCTATCTTATCTATCTATCTATCTCTGTCTGTCTGTGTCTGTCATTGTAAGCTGTTGTTGGTTATTCATTAAAATGACATCAAATTCTGAATAGAAAAGTTAATAGAAGGAATGTAGGACATTCTCTAGAAAATTTATCTCTCTCTCGTTCTCTCTCTTTTATATTTGTATACACATGTACCCAGACACACATCAAATCAATCCCACTCAGAAATGAGAAAAATAATTTTGGGGGGAAGTAAAACTCCCAGAAGATGTCAGCCAGGCCGGTCACCGATATTCTGGGAATTGTTGACTAAAAAGTTAACTTTCCCCAGCTCTGATCTTACTGAAGACTAAGAAATGCAGATTCCTTATACCTTATCATGAATCTATTCTTTTATAACTTCAGTTTGTTAGCATTGTAGTTGTTAACAGAGTAAATGTTGTGAGGTTGGAATAAAAATGGAATGAATGAATGGAATAAATATGGCAGAACTGTCCTATAATAAATGAGTTCCAGAGTAAAATCTTTGGCACTTTGTGTGGGATTATAGAGTGAAGCTCAGTGGTTTGGGTCTCCGGCTGCAGAACCAGAGGCTGGGAGTTTGAATCCCTATCTGTGCCTCCTTGACAGGGGCTGGACTTGATGATCGATAGAGTCCCTTCCAGGTCTCCAGTTCTAAGGTTATGATTAAGTCGAACGTTGTACATGCAGACATCTATTTGTGAAATGGGATTTGTGCTTTGCTCCTTGGATCTATGGCCCGTTTCACTTCAGATCTGCTTTAAAGGGTCTGGAGCAACTAGCACCCACGGGTGAGGAGACCTCCAGTGGGGAATGGTATCCTTCTTCATATCTCTGACAGAAGTGATTCCATCAGGAACAGTCAGTCGAGTGAATGCTCCTTGTGGAGGCTAATGATGCCAATGTCAGTGGACAGATGAAATTGTTCCAATTTCCCCCCTAAGGTTTTGAATCTCTTTCTGGGATAGAATTTGGCAGCTGAAATCCTGTTGCACAAATTCATGCCATGTAAGGCTGATGACATCTTCAGTTGTGGCATTTTTTTCAGAAACTAAAGGTTTCCAATTGCCCTCTCCCCAGGTCTCAAAGCTCCCTTGGAATTGTTCCATCATGGGGAAGCCTTTGGGAGTAATGGGACTGGAGGGAAGAGGGAGCCTTTAGTTTTCAAAAATTGCCATCTGCAGTGAAATCATTGTACAGTAGTGATGTGGTGTTCAGAAATTAAAGAGGCCCCATCTTGTTGTCCCCAAGGGTTTCCCCACAAGAAAAGGATTCCCAAGGAAGCCTCAGAACTTTTTGAGGGTAGAATTTCCAAAAATTTGCTACAGGTAGTGATACCATCAGCCTTATGCACGGTACATTCTGATTTTAGTCAGTCTCTTGTATACCTTCTGTAAAATTCCATGTAAAACTTGGTGCAGATTCACTGTTCACTGACATCAGGTTTACTACTGCTAGAGTCATACCACCTATAGTTCTTCTCAGTCAGTGGGTTGGAATTCTGAATAATCCAGTGCATTGAGAATCAAAATGGGAAAATGAGTTAAGGTATCACCGACATTACCTCCTTGATTTGAAAGGAAGGAACTCACACATTATTTGAATTCAAAATTTTATTGAATCTACACAGGCTGTGTACTGAACTAGCAGGATGCACCAAATTTAATAAAGATGTGCACTATTTTTGCTGGAGCACATTGCACTCGAGCCATGGTGTGGTATATGGAGTAGTAAGGGATCCAACGTGCCTAGCAAGTTCCATTAAATTTTTGTTAGCTTGCAGAGGATTTAATCATCATCAGTGGCTGCCAGACTGGTGCTAGCAATAATGTGCTTGCTAGAGACAGCCTAGGCAGATTGGGGCGGGGCTTTTCCTACCACTTTAATCATTCTATGTGTGGTGTGCAAAAAGGAACAAACCCAGCTAAAGGTCATGTCACACACCCTGGTGCCACAGTCCAACATCAAAGGACCAGTGTGCTATTTTTTATCATCATCAATGGATTTGGCCAGAGGATTGGAAAAGATCAGTCTACATCCCAATCCCAAAGAAGGGCAGTGCCAAAGAATGCTCCAACTACTGTACAATTGCACTCATTTCACACACTAGCAAGGTTATACTCAAAATCCTACAAGGGAGGCTTCAGCAGTATGTGGACTGAGAACTCCCAGAAGTACAAGCTGGATTTTGAAGGGGTAGAAGAACTAGAGACCAAATTGCTAACATGCGCTAGATTATGGAGAAAGCCAGAGAGTTCCAGAAAAACATCTACTTCTGTTCCATTGACTACACAAAAGCCTTTGACTGTGTGGACCACAGCAAACTATGGCAAGTCCTTAAAGAAATGGGAGTGCCTGACGACCTCCTCTATCTTCTGAGAAATCTATATGTGGGACAGGAAGCAACTGTTAGAACTGGATATAGAACAACTGATTGGTTCAAAATTGGGAAAGGAATACGACAAGGCTGTATATTGTCTCCCTGCTTATTTAACTTATATGCAGAATACATCATGTGAAAGTCAGGACTGGAGGAATCCCAAACCAGAATTAAGATTGCCGGAAGAAATATCAACAACCTCCGATATGCAGATGATACCACTCTGATGGCAGATAGTGAGGAGGAATTAAAGAACTTCTTAACGAGGATGAAAGAGGAGAGTGCAAAAAATGGTCTGAAGTTCAATATCAAAAGAGTAAGACCATAGCCACAGGTCCCTTCAACTCCTGGCAAATAGAAGGGGAAGATATGGAGGCAGTGACAGAGTTTACTTTCTTGGGATCCATGATCACTGTGGATGGTGACAGCAGCCAGAAAATTAAAAGACACCTGCTTCTTGGGAGGAAAGTGATGACAAACCTTGACAGCATCTTAAAAAGCAGAGACATCACATTGCCAACAAAGGTCCACATAGTCAAAGCTATGGTTTTTCCTGCAGCAATGTACCTGTAGTGATGTATGGAAGTGAGAGCTGAACCATAAAGAAGGCTGACCACCGAAGCATTGATGCTTTTGAATTGTGGTGATGGAAGAGACTCTTGAGAGTCCCCTGGACCGCAAGGAGAACAAACCTATCCATTTTGAAGGAAATTAATCCTGAGTGCTCATTGGAAGGACAGATCCTGAAGCCGAGGCTCCAATACATTGGCCATCTCATGAGAAGAGAAGACTCCCTAGAAAAGACCCTGATGTTGGGAAAGAGTGAAGGCAAGAGGAGAAAGGGAGGACAGAGGACGGGATGTCTGGACAGTGTCATCGAAGGTACCAACATGAATTTGAGCAAACTCCGTGAGGCAGTGGAGGACAGGAGGGCCTGGCATGCTCTGGTCCATGGGGTCACGAAGAGTCAGACATGACTTAACGATTAAACAACAACAAACACAATTTCACCTTTATTACTTGCCTTGCTTTTCTAAACATAACATTTATTTTTGAGTAGGGGTAATTAAAAGATTATATTCTTATGAACACTTTATTCAAAAAAGTTTCTTGTCTAGATCACTATCATGAGTGCTATTGTGAGTGATTCACGCTAGCATTGTGTGAGTCCTTTCAATGGCTCCCCTTTTTTGCTACCATGCATCATCTACTGTTTGTGTCTACCAAAGAAGACACTTATATTAGCTTTTTAAAATTTCCTTTTAATTTTTAATCTATTTTAATTGTACATAAGTACAATTGATATTATTTATTGTAATACTGTTATATGTTTAATATATATTAAGATTTTATAAGATTATTCATGTAAATAAACAGTTACTGAAATATTGTCCTTTATAATGACTGGAAACAACAAAATATGCTTTCTCTTTTATATAGCAGTTAGCCTAAGATAAATAATTAAAAAAAGAATTAATTTCTGTCATAGATGTTAATAGCGTTTAAAATTAGTTATAGTTATTTCATATTAACTATATTTAGAATGGAACATCCTTAATTTGACCATTTTTCTCATTTTTGGCTAGCCTACACAATACTTCAACAACCTTTTAATTTTTATTTTATAGTAGTAGTAGTAGTAGTAGTAGTAGTAGTAGTAGTAGTAGTAGTAGTAGTAGTTTTATTAATTTTATTAGTTGTTTTATTTGTATGCCACATTTCTCCCAGCAAAGGGACCCAAGGCGGCTCACAGCATTAAAATTGCAGTTAAAACACAATAAGTTAAATATTAAAAGACAAATTAAATAATACATGATTTAAAATAAAATTAAAAGATAAAAACATGGAAACATGGGAAAGATTAAAATTATCTGCTAAAATGGGGTTCAGGGATTCAGTTGTAATTGTTAAAAAAACCCTTATCATACAATAGACCCAACATTTTTAAGAAATGTGGACTAAAGTCGCTCCTGCCCTAATGGGTGGTATCTAAATTAAATAAATAAGTAATTTTGAAGCCCCTCCAGGTTTAGGTGCCCTGAAGCTTAAGCTTTATTAGTTTCATAGAAGATGTGTTCTGGTAACTGCTCTTTCTTCCTCCTACTCACACACCATTCTTTCGATTTACACTTTGCCATCTGATTTCTGCCTGAAAACTTACTTTTTCTTCCACTGTCTGAGACGCGCCTTCCCCCATGACGGACCCTTGGGACTGCAGTTCAAGCAGAGTCCGAAACAGGTTGTCTGAGGTCACTGTCAGAAATTCTATCTCTGCGTTGGGATGGAGACCATAATGGATGGGGCTTTCAGCCGGAAGCATTTCGTCAATATATTTGTGGTAACCTTGGTAATCCAGGTTCGAAGGAACGGCGAAGCCAGGAGCAAGGATAAGCTTTCTATCAAACTATCAAAAAACCCACAAACATCTTATTAATCACTCCCTGCTACCAAGAATCAGGAGTCCTGCCGAGATATAAATCAAATTATTCTTTTTATGGAGCCATTCTGGAGAATGACAAGACTTTGAGAAACATTTTATATCCTTGAATATTGATCTCATTTGCTTGCTCTTTTAATTAGCTCTTTTATATCTCATGGATTCTGTCATTCCACTGCATTCTGCTCAAACACAGGTTATTATCCTGTTAGCAAATAACAGAAAGGTAATTTTCATTTAGAAGTAAAGAGGTAGTGGGTTTTTTTTTTAGAAAAAGGGAAAAATGTTATTTCTTCCAAATTACAAAGTGCTGCTCTCTGGTGTAACGTTATTATTCCACATGGCAATTTTACTAAATGAAGCCATTTACGGCAGCATCTCAGAAAACGCCGTCTTTTATTGAAATGAAAGCGAGTAATGGCATAAGGATTCTGAAATAAAACAGGCGAGATTCCTTCTTTTAGACGATTACCAAAATACATGCATTGTCTCTTTGACAATCAATATGCTCCCATAAAATAAAATGGAACTGCCATTTCATAATAATGATTTCTATTTCAAATAGCTTGCCGTGAGCCAAACGAGGTCCTTTATGGAACAGTACGACAATTGTTTAATGCTCTGCTGTAGTTTCATGAGTTCTGCATCGGCTGCATCTCAAAAATATCCTAAGCAAATATGTAGAGGCAACTCAAGTTTCAAAACAACAGGCACCCAAGTGTATATTTAATTTTATTGACTTTATATTCACAGTGCCGTCTGATGCTTTTGAAGCAGTGCTGGGGGATGTGACATTACTGCTGAGTTCCTGCGGTTTTAAAGTATCTATAAACCTGCCAAGATAACAGAAGAATGTCAGTAATAGGCCAGTAATAATAATAACAGTATTGACATCATTATCATCATCATCAATAATGATAATAATAATCTTGGTAAAAGCTGGAAATGTAAAATAATGCAGGTTTCATTATTGAAAGGTAAATACTATTTTCTCTAACCTTTGCTTTATGAGTCAGCATTTCCGATGGAAATAAGCTGAAATCCTGCGAAAGCTTTGTGTGGGATGAAAAACCATTCTGGTGTGCTTTCAGAGTAGGAATTATTCAGATGCCAGCATGTTGCTAATTTGTCATTCCTGACACCCACGAGGAATGGACGGAGTGATCCAATCTCCGCCTAAGTTGATGTTGATAGTACAAGCCGGCCAAGGGCTTCTGCCTGACATTCTCTGCCACGTTTTGAGCACAGAAACACCTTGCTGGTTATTTATTTCCAAACAACACAAAGCCAGAAAAGAAAATCAAACAAAACTCAAACAGGAAAACCAAGTCCACTTTTAATAATTGTTTTTAAAAATCCCAGAGTGGTTTGATATAATAATGAAGAAGTAGAGATCAATCTAATATAAAAATTTTGATTGACTGTGCCTGGTGTTTAATAATAATAATAATAATAATAATAATAATAATAATGAGAATCGCTAAAACCCAGGAGGCATTGGTAGCTCAACTCTTAGGAAAATGAAAATGCTTGCTTAAACAGACAGGTTTTCAGTTAGCAGCCTCACTTCACACCCCAGTTCTCAGTGGGGTCACCACTACAAGGAAAGGTTATGTTGCCCTCACAAACAAATAATCTTCACTAGACTGAAGTAAAATAAGCATAGCCCCACTGCAATTGCTAAAACCCAGGAGGCATTGGTAGCTCAACTCTTAGGAAAATGAAAATGCTTGCTTAAACAGACAGGTTTTCAGTTAGCAGCCTCACTTCACACCCCAGTTCTCAGTGGGGTCACCACTACAAGGAAAGGTTATGTTGCCCTCACAAACAAATAATCTTCACTAGACTGAAGTAAAATAAGCATAGCCCCACTGCAATTCAAAACTAGCATACTCTTTCTAAGGGAGCGTGGCATCTCAGTCTCCTGGTTCTGAGCCTGGTATGGCCTTCTAAGCCAAAGTAACACTTTAAATCTGGTTTGATATTTGGCGATAAAACATCATATTTAAGAGTTGATCTTAAACAACATGGGTTGTGGCAGTGTGGTTTCCTTCCTTCCTTGGATTTTGATGGTACAGCAATAAGGAGTGGGACTCCTTGTCCTCACAGACTCAACCTTATGTGAAGCTAAAGATACCTTCATACTTCTAGAATCTTTTTTCCCTATCCCCCTTTCTCTTCCCTTTTCCCTCCAAAACAAAATACCCACTGTGGGCCAACTGAGACCAAAAGGGTTAAAGGATTTGTGCCAGTGTGAGTATAATGGCATAAAGTGCAATGGCAAATTATTGTTGATTAACAACTTGCCACAACATCTGCATGATCAGATTAATTTAGCAGCAATGTGCTGCTGAAATTTACTCCCTTACATTTGGGTTGGTAGCATTAATCTACCTTAGGATTCTGGCTCTTTCAGAATGGGCAGTTCCACTGACATAAGTATTCAAGGCTTCTTCTTCTTTTTAACACCACAAATGAATAGGATTGACTTGAGCAAATCAGATAAAATCTTTTTCACTGCCTTTAGTGATCAATAAATGAGCTAAATTGTTTCTGACTTCAGTGGGATTTAGTGCCATGTAAACTGTGCAAATGATTTCAGCCTGAGGGATGTGAAGCTGTGAACAAGCTTAAAGCCTATATTATCTTGAATATTATGTGAGAGTCACTACCCTGACGACCCCCCCCCCGAGATAGGGAGACCAGGACTTTTTGTATTCTAAGAAACGGGCAAGATGGTTTGCAGTCATCTGTAGTCTCATTAGGGGGCGAGGGAGTGCCTTGTTTTTCTCCCCATTTTAATTTTTGTACCTGAGTTCCTGATGCTGGAAGCAAAGAAACCAGAGGTTGCGCAGAGCAACGGTAAGAAAGTCAGAACCAAACCACCTCTACGGACCTGCCCATTAGCAGCAGTGAGTAAGAACAGGTGTGCTGGTGGGAAGGCAACTCTTAATGCAAGAGACAGGAATTGATTTTTTTTTAAGGTTGAGAACAGTGATCCTCTGATTACTAGTCTCCTGCTAGGCTGAAATCTAAGAACCAATTCACATGATCAGGTGAAGTGAGAATTAATAATGATAATATCACTCCAGAGTCTTGCTTGCATAGAATCAAATAATATGTCTCGGTGATCACAACTAAAGTGTCAGCTGATACGCCGTTGTTTGGCACTATGCAAGTGAGGCAGAAATTGTACAGAGATCTACCCCTCTGGGAAGAGGAAGTGATAATTTAATCAGCCAATAGGTCATGGAAGAAACAATCTTGAATGGGAAACTATCCCGGCCGTACACTTGACGATAAATCTGTAGAAAACAGTTGGGCCGAAATAAGACAAGGCGGCTGTAGGGAAATCCATTCTGTTCATTGCCTACTAACCTAAAATAAGAAAAAAAGAGAACATTACAAAGTAAATGTGTTTGCAGTCCTTGTTATTCCCACATGTCTACTACTATAAATAAAGATAAGGATGAGATGAGGTAAATTCTTCAGTCGATGTTGTTAAGAGGAAAGAGTAGAGGATACAAAAAGAAGGCATTAGCTTCCAGTAGGGGGAGCTCTAACTCAGGAAACATTGTGAATTTGATGCTGCTCTCATACCTGATGGGGTTGCATATACTCTTCCAAGTAAGTGCGGCAAAGTCTCCTGTCCCAGTTGTCTGTAATATGTCCACCATACATAATCTCTCCAAACAAGTAACGGAGATCTTCCCAGGGTATCTGAGAACCAAGAGGACAATATATATATATATGAATTTATCTTCAGGATATATATATATATTCCCTCAGTAAGTCAGTCTGTCTCAGCCAATAGATTCAGTCAGTCTGTCTCAGCCAATAGATTCAGAAAATATGTTGCTAAATTACCAACATTCTGTATTTCCATTACATTTCTGGATCTTTTAAAATATTGCTCTTCACTAAACATATTAATTGTTCTCAAAATCTGCCTGGCAACTTACAAACATCACCTGAGCTGTACATGCATAGGAAACAAGGCAGTTCAAGATCTCACATCTACTCAAAGTTTCAGGCATATACATGATTCTTTGGTAGGGTTGGTGGCATGACCGCTTACTTACCTGTGAGTTTGCCTCCAGGTAATTATACAGCACATTGACTGAAATCGTGAGGTCCCCATTGTTAAAAGGGTATTTCCTGTTCCAGCCCTGAGGTCCGAATTTCCGTCGTTCAGCCACACAGGCATGAAAATAGCACAGCGAAAACAGAATGGTCTTAAATTCCTGTTCCCGAGTACATTGATCAAGAATGTTCTAAAGAAAAGAAAATTCCCAGCTGAGAGATCTCTTCTGTCAAGGTGTAGACAATGGATGTTTAATGCAGCTGAAAGCAAGAACTTGAATGGCTAACTTGTAAAAAGATGTGGAAAAATACTACTTCTTTTAATTTATGTATTATGCATTTTTTGGCATTTCTACTTTGCTTTCTTTAGGCAGTAAATGTTCTATGCCTTACTAAAAGTCTGCTGAAATATTAATGCTAACAAAGCTTGTCTGGAGAAATCTTTCCAAATTCTTACAAGCTCTTTCAAGAGTAATTGCAGAAAAACAAAACTGAGCCATTGAAAAAATTATAACAAAACTTTTAGGTCAATTATTGTAATCTAACATCTTGAATGAAAGGTCAGTTAACTGCCAATTGTTGCCAAATTGTGCGCGTGCTATTGTTAGGTGTATGTACTTAGGTCTTCTAAACCCCAGACAACAGAGGAACATTTGCTTATTTAACCCATCAAAAAGTTAAATTCAAAAGTTAAGCAGCCAAATGTTCATTTAGTCACATAGCTTTCATGGACAGGTAATGTGAACCAACATCTCTACTGCAAATTCAAAGAAATTATGTCAGGCTGGCATTACAGATTTGCCTCAGTCACATAACTCTAGTAATTCACATTTTGCATAGATATTGTAACTTTTGCCTCCATTTGCAAAGAATAACTTTCCAAAAGGAACAAACTTATACCAACAGCTGTTCTTTGACCTATTTCATAGTAAAGGTACCCATGCATTTAATTATCATCATCATCTTAGAACTGCAGAGCTAGAAGGGACCCTATAGATCATCAGGTCCAGCCCCTGTCAAGGGAGGTACAGGTAGGGAATCAAACTCCCAACCTCTGGCTCCACAGCCAGAAACCTAAACCACTGAATTTAGTCTGATAATTATTCCATAACTGTATCTGTTCATCTAGGTTTTGCAACACTGTGTATGATAATATTGTGGTTGTTTATAAACTACAATATTTCTCATTTTACGATTTTCAGTAGTTTTTTCTGGTGATCATTTGGTTATAAAACAATCTGTTTCATGAACTACTTTTTGTGGCTGGTCCTTCTGATTTATATTTTTACTTGCCTCGTCAAAATTATCCAGCGCGGCATGAAGATTAGCCAGCATCCCGGTGGGTGGCTCATTGGTAATTTTAATAGAGTTTTCCAAGATTCCCTGAGGAATGACATGTTCTTTAGGGCTCGGGGCAGGTTCCACGCTCATAAATACCCGGTAGGCCAGGTGACTTCCTTCACTGTACCTCTCCAGTAATTTCTCTAATGTGTCGAGCCACTTTGTAACAAGATGAATATTCTGGAGGAGAGAAAGGGGGGGGGGAGAATAGGCTTCCCAGTGAGGTATTGATTTGAAATATGAAACATTTTATTGATATGAGCCAAAGGAAGCAGTTTGATGTAGCACAATATTTGAATGGGGGGGAAGAGAGAGAGAAACCATACGCATCTGTTTAGTACAATGTGCTGCATAATGACAGCAATCTTCCCTGTTTGTGTCTATTCATCTGATTATAAAAAAATAACAATACTTTCTCCGGCATGTATATTTGTTAAAGGGTTTTGGAGGGAAAGATCATAAATTAGTAAATCGGATGGCAAGCGTTAAAGTATTTCAATAAACCCCCCTGCCGTACAAGAGCAGTGGCTGCAGCGGTGTGTATTTTTATACAGCAATCAATGCTACATAAATGCAGCACACCTTCGTGTGAAGTTATGCATCTCCTCCCCTCCCACCCCAATTCCTCCTTTTTGGAACAGGTTAAAAAGGAAGCGATTACTCAAACGCCTGTGCTATGCATGCATTATTTTGAAAAGCTTTTAGAAACAACAAGAGAAATGCCGGCGAGCAGCATGGGTGTAAGGAAGGCCCGAGACTTACTTGAAGGATCACCCAGTGGCCTGCTTTTGATGCCTTTTCCAGAGCCGTCTCTGCAATCCCTTCTTGCCCTTGACCCAAAGAGACATTGTGAAGCTTTCCGGAATCAATAGTAAAACCAAGCTTGCTCCCTAAACAGAAGAATACAGCTCCGTTGAAGTAATATAGAACATATGTTTTTTTTTTGTTTTTGCGGGAGAAATTATTCACAATGAAAAATTTAACCAGAAACAACAAAAAAACAACCCTTATAATTCCACAACAGGGTTGTTGTTGTTTTGTATAAATGCAACAAGAACCTTCTAGGTGCAATCCAGACCCACTCGAAGAACAAGCGTCTCACCCACCGAATTCTATAAATGACAGATTTGAACAATGAATGTTGTGCTATACAGTATTTACTCCATATGCTTGGGATTCCGGATTTCGTATATCAGAGAGCTTCATCAGTTGCTTGCCGTGGGACAGATCAGCTAAGCTATTGTGGATAATATCAAATCACTTCACTCTACGGTTCTCTGACGGGCACTTTGGAAAAGGGAAGGACCTGTAGCTCAGCGATGAGGGATAGGCTTTGCATGAAGAAAATCTTAGGTTCAGTTCCTAGTTATCTCACTGAAAGATAACCCTACTGAGGTATTGCCTATCAGGCAATACCTCAGTCCCCAGTGAAAGATCAGACTAGAAAGACCAGTCCCCAGTGCTCTCCAGGGGTTAGGGGAGGCAGCACCTATCCAGGTAAACAAGCCAACAAGGCTCATGGTCCAAAGAATGGTCATGTAAAGCAGTGGTCCCCAACCTTGGACCTCCAGATGTTCTTGGACTTCAACTCCCAGAAATCCTGGCCAGCAGAGGTGGTGGTGAAGGCTTCTGGGAGTCGTAGTCCAAGAACATCTGGAGGCCCAAGGTTGGGGACCACTGATGTAAAGCTCCTGAAGGACACGGTGTGAGGAAGGCTGCAGAAGACAATTGTGGGCTAGACAGTAGACTATTCTGACTTAGTATAAGGTAATGAAGAGGTTAAGGTTTCATATAAATTAAATACTACCTCCAACCCATGTGTTTCCCTGTTTACTGACATGAGTGTACATTCTTGTGGACATAGAAATTCGGTGTTCCCAGTACAAAACCCAGGAGAACAGTGTGTTCTTTAGGATAAGAATACTTGCAGTATTCTTTGGCTAGAATCCAGTTGCTTAGTGTAGTAAATTCTAATTAGAGTCGGCCCATTGGTAAGTCAACTCCTTCATAAATTCCGCTGATTCAACTGACCTACTCAAGTTCCAATTTACAACACTAAGCAAGCAATAGGATTTCAGCTGTTATATTTAAAAATAACTGAAAGTAACTATTTAAACTTCATTCAAGAAACTCAACATTTTCTTCTCAAAATGGGCAATTCTAAGAGTCACTAACTATTTATAGAGGGAAATGCTGGAACAATAACTGTAATTAATTTTTAAAGGAACTTTTAAGGTTCTGTAAGACCACGTATGCTTGGTTGTTCGGCAAAGAAAAACAATGTTTTTCTTTACATTAAGCAGCACTAAACTGAAACAAAGGCAAGGTGTCTGTATAAAAACAGCATTATATTTTAATAAATGGAGCAGGGGGGAAAGAGGCGATAGAAAATGAGCACCAGAGATTATACAGGAGGATGGGTGCCTAAACTGGCACTGAGTTCCCTGCTGAATCATGGCCCTCAGCAAACACTGGTGCCAACCCTGAGTAGGTAGGGAAATTGTTACAAAGAAAACACAGCCCAGAATGTTTAAGCACCCTATTCTCCCCACCAGTTATTACTGCCATTGTTTCCTCTCACACAGCTCCATTTTGCAAGATGGGTGTGGCAAACATCAGTTTGGCAATCCCTCATTGGCCGATGAAAGATTTATGTTCAGCCAATGAAAGGCGATGCCTGCTGCAGTGTTGTCACCACCTTGATCTTTTGCACAGATTTTCTCCGGCAGGACCAGCCTGTGTAGCATTGATGCCTAGCTACCTGATGGCAGACAAAAATATTGCCGTTTTACGGTGCTTTGTCTACTGATGCCTGAGTTTGGAAAATTTGCTTTAGGAGACTTCACCTCCACGAACTCCCTAACAGCACGAACATACAGCAGTCAAGGGTAAGGATTTTTAAAGCTCACTGAGTTGAAAGAAAGATTTGGCAGGCCCAAGAATATTCCTGTGCCTGGGGCGGAACAGAAGATGCTGCTGCTTCCTACTATTTCAACCAACTGCTTGCTGCTGTTTCAGGACAGGCCACCCCAGCTGCTGGGGACAGCTACCTGCTTCTGGGCATTGGTAATCAGTGGGACGTAGAATGCTTGCTTTCGGCTGGATTGTACCCACACAGCATATGTGCAACAAACATACTGGCATGAGTGTATGTAGCCTATTGCAGAGAGTGACAACAGGCCATAACCTTATTTCCATAAATACAGATCTTCCATCTTGCATGACGCTACTGAAGGGCGCCCTGGTGGGCCAGATGCCTTGCATGCGGAAGCTTCCATGTTCAATCCCGTGTATCTCCCGATGGGGAATGGAAAAGAATCCAGGAGTGGCTATAGCCAGTGTAGACGAGGGTAGCATTTTGTTTCAGGCTGCTTTTCAAATAAGGATCCACCAAAATGTACAAAGTTCTTCATATTCAGGAAGGAAAAAAAATCCCTTGATATGAAAAGCAACAACAACAACAACAACAACACATGTAGGAAAAAACAAAATGCATTCATGCAACGTGCAGAGTACTGAGTGTGTAATTCTACAATTCTGAGTTTGAATCCTAGAGTTCCAGCAAGTGATGGTTGGTTGGTCTCATGTCACCCGTGGATTTGCTCAGGGTTTTAGCCTGAACTTTAAAAGAATTATCCAAGGTGCTGACTTTAATTCTGGGAAACACCTTGGATATAATAAATTGGAACGTAATTGGCGAATGAATTCAAATTCAACCCAGAGAAGACAGATCAAGGAACAGAGATGCAGCCAGTACTGGATGGGATTACACTCCCACTGAAAAAGAAGGTGCACAGCTTGGGGGTGCTCCCGGATTCATCCCTAAGCCTAGATCCCCAGATCTCAGTGGTGGCCAAGAGTACATTTGCACAATTAAACTAGTGTGCCAGTTATGTTCATTTCTTGAGAGATCTCATCTGGCCACTGTGACACACACCCTCGTTACTTCCCAGCTGGATTACTGTAACTCGCTCTATGTGAAGCTGCCAATGGAAAGTGTCAGGAAACTTCAATGGGTCCAAAAGGCAGCAGCCAGACTGCTGACTGGGGCTGGTTATGGGGATCACTCCCCTGTTACAGCAGCTCTAATAGCTGCTGATCAGTTTCCAGGCACAATTCAAAGTGCTCACATAGCTTTGACTATTCGGACTTTTGTTGGCAAGGTGACGTCTCTGCTTTTTAAGATGCTGTCGAGGTTTGTCATCACTTTCCTCCCAAGAAGCAGGTGTCTTTTAATTTCGTGGCTGCTGTCACCATCTGCAGTGATCATGGAGCCCAAGAAAGTAAAATCTGTCACTACCTCCATATCTTCCCCTTCTATTTGCCAGGAGGTGATAGGATCACATAACCCCCATGTTACACCAGCTCCACTGGCTGTTGGTCTGTTTCCAGGCACAATTCAAAGTGCTCATTTTAACCTATAAAGGCCTATTGGGTCCAAGCTATCTCAAAGCCCGTATCTTCCGCTATGAGCCAGTTGGGTGTTAAGAGCATCAGGGGAGGCCTTTCTCTCAGCCCCTCCACCCTCATAGGTGCACCTGACAGGGACATACGAAAGGGCCTTCTCTGTTGCTGCTCGCAGACTTTGGCAATCCCTCCCAGAGGAGGCCAGACCGGCCCCATCTTTGCTGCCCTTCCACAAGCAGGCATAGACCTTTCTCTTTAGGCAAGCCTTCCCTCACTAGTTACCTCTGTGTGATTTTTAGATGGATTGTTCTCCATTACTACTTTGACTGGATTTTTAGTGCTACTTGTGTTTTCCATTTCTCAGAGAAGCAATTTTTAACTTGTATGCTTATTGTTCTTATCCTTAATATTGCCTTTTAATAATGCAAGACGCCTCTTTATACTCATTGTTCTTAGCTTGAAAATTTGTCTTTTAATGATGTTAACCATCGTTGTATACTCCTTGCTTTCATCTTTAAATATTGTTTTTCATTGTTGTCAGCCACCTTGGGTCCTTTTCGAGGAGAAAGGCGGGGTACAAATATTTACAATAACAATAACAATAACAACAATCATCATCATCATCATCATCATCATCATCATCATCTCAGCCTAAAGCCCAAAGCAAATTCATTGGACTCGCTGACACAGAAGCCACCGGCCTCTGATGGTGCCAACCAAGACCGGGACACTTGTGCTGACAATCTGTGAAAACAAAACCTTCCGCCTCAAGGGGCAGAGTGGGGGGACTTCAGGCCTGCTGTCCTTTTCATCAACTGCCTGCATTGCTTCCTCATAGCTAAGCTCGCTGTTAAGGAGCTAGTGGTTGGCCTTGCCATTCTAATGCAGCAGGGAGGCCGGACCCCATGAATGACAATCCACAAGCCCTGGTGCCTTGTCTAGACTTACCTAAAGTTTCAACATCTTTTAGTGGGTCCACTCCAGGAGACAAAATAAATATTATGGGCGAAGCAGGCCCACTTTCTTGAAACGATTTTGCAAAGTCAGTTTGACGTCCCTCTGCATATTTGGTTCCAAGTTTCTCTTCAACAAAATTCCTACAACGAAGAGTTGCAGATAATAATGCCTCGAGGGAAAGAGCGTTTCAGCTTTAAAGAGAGTCTTAACCACACCACGCTTCATCATGCTTAGCATTTGCTAGAAATGAAGCGGAGTCCACGCATCTGTCCCCAATGTTTGCTCAGGATTTAGAGTACATGTAATCTAACCTGACAGCGTAAGTCATCCGATCTGGTCTCAAGGCTCTCATGAGGATCAGTTTCTGGAGAGAACTTTTTGTCTTCCATTCTTGTGGAAACTTCTCTTTCTCTGGACATTCTGACTCCACCACTTTTTTCCAGCGCTTTGGAGAGCCTTCAATATCTTTGTCCAAGCCGCGAAATTCATCCATGAAGCTCATGGTCTAAAAGCACACGCATGGCAGCAGAAACATGACATATTTTTCATTTCAGAGGATCCCTACAGATTCACTGGGTTGGTTGCATATACCTTACCTTAACTGCACTCCAGGAAAAGTCGGAGAGGAATTCCAGAGGACTGTTATAACTGTGGTCGATATTAAATCTCAGAAGGAAGTCTAGCTCACAAACATCGATCTCCTTATTCATAAGCAAAAGCTGAAAGAGATGAAAAAAACCCCAACTGATCACCAAATTAAGAAAAAAGCACAAAAATGTACATTTGGTAAAGAGAAGTATGAAAATAAAGTTGCTGAAATTTCAAAGCATGCATATTCTCAGCCTTTCTTAAATTCTACCTTTCAACTGTCAAACACATGGAATTGGGGGACAATTCATTTGAAACCCATTGGGCCTAGTAATTAATAGGTTAAATTGGAACCAATGAGACATAATTACTTGTGACTAAATTAAAAGCCCCATTGACTTTCAAGCATGGCTATGTCTGGATCGACAACAGAGTTTATTTGCACACGTTCCTTGTTTCTGCAGTGCTTCTTCTTCTTGTTTCCTTCTTTTCTAGCTCAGCCTAAACTCTGTCATGTTAAACGACCATTTCCAGGGCAAAGTATTCTAAGTGTTTCAATGTATTCTTGAAGGCTATTCTAAGAGTTCTCCAAAGCAAACAAAAGTTTCTGGAAGTAGCTCTCGGATGTTATAAAGCAAGATTCGTCACCTAAATGCTCTTCAATTGGTTTTAAGTGCTTCGTGAAAGGGCAGCATCTTTCCTGTACAGACATTTGCAATTTAGTACAGCAAATGTTCAGGAGACTCAGAGTAACTACGTAAATGCCGGTAATCGGAATGGAAATTAACCGGCATGCTAGGATTGGCCTGATGAGTATGCCTGCCCTTTTAAACAAATGAAATGGGAACTTCAAGGAAGACAAGGCAGTGTTTCCCCCACTAGGAAAATCAACCCAGCCCAGAAAAACATACTCAAATAAGCCATAACTGGAGCTGAAATCACATTAATGTGGCAGAGAGGTGACTGAGTTTGCTAATTTAGATAATCTTAACAGAGAAGACTCATTTACTCCTGGCAGGGCACTAGAGAGAGATGACCTGGAAGACTGTTCCAGGGAAAAGAGGAAGTCCTAGACTTCCTCCAGTAGGATGATGCCTAGCACTGCTCTCTGTTGTCCTGCCAAGACAGAACGAATGAATAAAGGAAGGTCTCATGATGCCACAAGCAATGAGAGATCCTTGTTTTGAGACGGAGTAACAGCCCTCTCCCAGCCCCTTTGCATTAAGGTAAGATGAAGAGCGAACTCTGCAGGAATGATGGCTGCCACAATTTCCTCGTAATTCCATAGCCTCCTTGTCACTTCCATGCAGAAATACAGTGATGCCTCGCAAGACGAAAACAATTCATTCCGCAAGTCATTTCGTATTGAGAAAATATTATCTTGTGAATTTCCCCACTCCGCAAGTCATTTCGTATTGAGAAAATATCATATTGCGAATTTCCCCATAGGAATGCATTTCAATGCATTTCCCATAGGAATACTTTGAAAAAAAATCCGTCTTGCAAAGCACGGCCATAGAAAAATTCGTCTTGTGAGTCACCCCCCCAAAAAAATAATAATCGCAAAACGCCTTCATCTTGCGAGTTTTTCGTTGCACGAGGCGTTCATCTTGCGAGGCATCACTGTATCTATGGAGAGTATACTTGAAGATATTTATGGAACTGTATGGCCATATGTCTATGTACCTATTGTCCAGATTTTGTGCAATTTATTGGAGCCAATCAGAAGGAGTGTAGGAGCAGAGTCACAGTGCCCTCTGTAATCAGCTGGCAACACAGGTATTTGTTTGCCAAGAGGAGAACATGCTTGTGGAGTTAACACTAGGGCTGAGGGTGCAGACACAGACTGTGTCTGTTTATGTGTCAAGTTCTTTCCCAAGTGACTATTCCCAGAGTTCTCTTTTTGGGTAGGCACAAAGGAGGAAACAGAACAACACAACAATCTGGGACATTAACTGTTGAGTCAGCAGGAGCCAGTGCTGCTGGTAGGATTTACAGGGCCAAAACGTATGCGAGGAAATGTTTCCTTCATGCCCATATCCTTACAAAATCCTCACGTCTGGCTAGAGATCGAAACTGAGAGAGGGAATTGTGGTCTGGGGAAAGGTGGGGCTGTATTGCAAATTTGTACTGCTCTTCAAATCCTGTTTGCCTCTTTCACAACACACAGCTTCAAAAAAACGATTGACAGTGGATTGGGCTATGTCTTGGGGTGACCCCCCCCAGCCAATGGGGCTTCTCGACACCACCTTACAAAGAGTTTAGGGGGGGATGGTTTGAGGGGGCTTCTAGCAAAATCAGACCATTCAAAATACTGTTGCTTTTATCTTGGACATCACATTAGATAGCGCACATGCCATTTCTGTTGGTGGTGGTGGTGGTGGTGAGCACGCTATGCACATGCAATGAGGGGAAATGCCATTTCTTAACACAGGCATTTTCTGTAAAATGTCACAGGAGTAAAAACAAAGAGTAAAAAAAAATCTGGAGGACTGGAAAAGAAAGAGGCAAACTAGGACATTTTGAGTCACCAGTAAACACTGAATATCTGAATGGAGCTGAAAGCATTTCTGTAAACACCTTTCTAGTTTTAATCTCCACACTATAAAGGGACAGACANAATAATTTTGTTTTTTTTTAAAAAAGAAGGCACCCAGGTCATTATCATGGCTACAAGCAAAACCATCTGAGAAAGCAGGGTGGTGGTCTTCCCCAATGTATTGTGCTCTTTATTGCGATTTTCTAACACCATCCACTGGCTTTGTTTTGTTGCAGTGGAAAGGAAACCTGCTAAAAGGCAGAAAAGGGCTGAAGGTTAACGTCTTTCTCTTCAGCCTCCGATATGCCTTTATGACAATGCAGAGAGTCACAATTTAGTGTAACAGGAGGGCAAGACAATGGATCCAGGCAAGCGCGGAAGGGGTGGGTTTTTGAAAAAAGGCTTCCCCCCTCCCAACTTTGCTGCTCTTTCACCCTCATTTCTTCTTGTTGTCACAGAAGTGCCATCTGTTCCTCCTTGCCTTAACATGAACATGTTTGATTCATATTCAATAACAGATAACAGAGGGGAAAAGATTACAGGGTAATCTTCAGAACCCGCCAGCATTAGCAAGTTCTCTTGTCCGGAGATGTAACATGTGCAATAAGGGGACTGGGATCGTCTGCCTCAGTGGCACTCAAGAACATGGATAAAGAAGAACAGCCCCAAATTAATTCTGCATGTTGAAATGGGAGCTACCCAAAAGATAGAGGTGTTGGACTGAATCGAACTGCTAGCCCCAATTGGAGTAGACCTGTTAAATCAAAAGGAGTTACATAAGTGTTGAGAAACCCTTTGGTGATTGATTAAATGGGTCTGTGCTAGTAGGGGTTAGCAATTGGACATCACCTCTTGGTATCTAAGACAACTGGCAAACGGGGTTTATAATGTGTTGCCACCAGATTTTGCCCAGAATCTTGGTGCGCAACTTTGATTCTGTGAGCTTTTAGATGGGGAGAGATACACGTCTGGTTGCGTGTACTATTAAAATGCCTACCTTATTATCTTACAGACCCTACTGGTGTTTTATCTTAGGCCCATAGATTTGAACCCCAGCTCCTTAAATTAGTTAATGAACTGGAACCCATTTGCCACTGATTTCATTGTTTGATTAAAAACAGCACTTGCAATGGGGGTCGTTGCTTTTATCATTTTAGCCATTGATTTAATTGTATCTTGGGAAACTATACTTTGGGATTTTTTAAAAAATGAAAAGCAGTGCCAAGATGTTCTTGAATAAATAAAGGAATGTGTTCTGTTACTTGGCAATGTAATCAAGCAGCAATTAAGATATACCTTGTCTTTCTAAACCATGTATAAGAAAACTGAACTTAAAATCAAACCAGCACAAAAGTCAAATTAAGAGCAAAGGTCTCAACAACATAAAAATCTCTGCTAAAAGTATTAGCAGATATATAACAAACCAGGGCCTCTCTAAAAAGCTTAATAAAATGGCTGCCACTCCACTTTTGCAAACAGACAAGACGAACAGCATCTCTCTGGGCAATGCTGGAGCTGTAACCGAGGCGGCAACCTCCACCATCTTCCATACCTCCAATGTCCCTCAGCCCTGCTTTTGACACAGGAACTTTGGGGATGTGGATGATGATGAGGGCACCAGCTGCAATATTACCCATTTCTTTCACTGCCCACCATCTGCCCCCTTACACCTCCTGGCAAACTTTGGGCAGTGGGGAAACCAGAAGAGGATAAACATGCTTTCTGGTGAATTGTGAGTCGGACATTTACACAGGAATTGTAATAATTCTTGGTGCTTCTTCTACCTTTTCCAGGTGTACAAGAAAGATCTTGTTCTACTCAGGAATTATAATATTTCCTCCAGGAAAAAATGACCATGAAATGCCTCAGAAAACCCATGAGATTTCATGCAAGGTTCCTAGGGGTGAGGAAAGAATCTTGATGTAAGGAGAAAAGGCTAAGGTTTTTTTCCTTTGTGAGATTCAAAACTCTAGCCATTGGATATTGGCTCTGAAGAGGAGACTACAGGATAGTTTGTTCAAGATCCCATCTGCCTGTTGCCAGCCCTGATTTCGCGCCCTGGGACTCTGCAGCTTGCCCAAGGCCACACAGGCTGGCTCTACCCACAGGAGGCAAAGTGGGGAACTGAACTCACAGCCTTTGGGAGTAATTAAACCACAAAGCTTAAGAGGGGCTGCTGGGTGGAATAAAGCCTCTTGGAAAGTTCTGATTCAAGAAATATTCTGGTATCAAACTACTTAGGGCTTGTAAGGTCAAGGCCAACATCTTGAATTGAACTGAATCTAGGCGCAAGTTGTGAAACAAGTGAAGGATTAATGTAATGGTTATTTATGGAATTGCTATACTAGCTTTCTGTAAACAACCAAGACGATGGATATAGAGTGTGTGCGTGCGTGCTGTTGAGTCAATTATGGCCAGGTTTTTCCAGGGTTTTCCAGGTAGAGAGCACCAAGAAGTGGATTACCATTCCCTTCTTTAGGGGGGTAGGACAGGGCTGGGACTGTGCAGCTTGCCCAAGGCCACACAAGCTGGCTCTACTCCCAGGAAGCACAATGGGAAACCAAAACTCTTAACCTCTGGCTTCACAGCCAGATATGTAAGCCACTGAGCTATCCGGCCAGCTGTGGTATATAAACCCAGTTAAAAAGCTGTGTCAACACCATTCCTGAATATGGAAAAGGCAGACCAGTCTCATGTTCAAAGGCAGTGGATTCCAGACCTTAGAGGAACACAGGAGAAAATGTTTTCCTGCATTCCTAACAAGCCAACCTCTCAAAATAAGGGCAGGCATGGGAGGTTCCCACCTAATCGTGGGACTGGGAGTTCTTTTCCCCCCAAAAGTCCCATCCCTACTGGCATCCAGCACAGATGGGATTATGACAGCGTGCACTGACTCGCACCTGAGCTCTGTCGTTTCCATTGGTTGAAGCGTCTAGTACGTGCTCTTCAAAGGTAGCTTCACACAGACCACATGGTTACTCACCGTGATGTAATCAAGCCATGTGTTCTGTGTGAATTTACCACGTAAGAGCATGTAGACGCTTCAACTGATGCAGGAAAGGTCACAGTGGGCATTGTGGACCCCGTTGTTTAAATGGACTCGGCAGAGACATCAACACCTGAGGGGCCCAAGACATTGTAAGATCCTGGAGCTCTGCTAAGCCATGAACAAGATATTTTGGCAGGGGAGTGGAGGAAAGAGTAGCTCCATCCAAAGAAGAAGGGAAAAAAACATCGGGGGCTAGGCTTTTCATGACCAAAAATTCCTCTATTTTATCTGGACGCACCCTCAACTTGTGCACCCTCATCCAGACCATAAATGAGCCCAGGCTGCTTTCAAGAATCTTCTTGATAGCTTCCTTAGAATATGTTCTGAACAGGTGGCTCCTGTAAGAGCCTCTCTTTTTTTTGCCACAAGGGGAATCAATGTGAAGCGTTTGCCTTTCTTGTTGCAGTCGACAACTTTCTTTCCTTCTCAAAGAATCTTTTGCAAGAAGAGGAGGGAAATCTTTTTCTTATCACGAGAGATAACGGCATGGCCAAAGAGTCTGTATCTGCTGGAAGATGAGAAAGTATAAGCATAGAGATGGGCACAAACCATCGAACTGGTGGTTCGTACTGGTTCATTCTTTGGCCAAACAGGCGCGTCCCAGCCCCACCTCCTCCAGCAGGTGCCCACACAGTTGCAGTGCCCAGGCTTCCCTGCTCTGCCTCCTCTGGATGCTGCTTGTTGAGTGAGCACCCACTGAAAGAAATGGGGCTGGGAAGCACCAAACACTTGTTCGGTCAAAGGACAAACTGGCACAAACCTCCAGTTCAGCAGTTTGTACCCATCTCTAGTCAACTATGTGGTGTGGCCCCAAATTAAAGTCCGTCCTAGTGTATCCAGGTTCTTTAATCTGGCTCTGGGTGTATTAACAGCATAGGATGGGAAAGCAAGCTTGGATTCTCGGTTCTGGGACAGTTTTCAGTACTACAGTTCACGTGCAATGTCAAGCATGCATCGCTTTGTGGAAATGCTAAGTGAAGGATTATTATTGGCCTAAGAGATTTTGCTGCTCGATAGGGAGCATCGTGCCTCTACGCTAGGACCACACATAATTCTGTTGTGGAAGGCAACATTTTAAATTCACAGGGTGATTGCAGAAATAAGTCTTGCCATCTGAAGCAGAAGGCATGGTAGGGATGGGCCTGGCAGGAAGAACCTAAAATATAGGAGAACTGAAGTCCAATTTGCAATTATTTGACGACACAAGAGCCCAAGCCCAACGTTCCCATCCTCTCACCCTTGAAGGGGGGATATTGAGTCCCTGCAAAGCAATGCTACCCATGGTCAATAGCAATGGTTTATATTGTGAGGAAGCAGATCAATTAATTTTAAACCCCAGTTCTAAATATTAGTTCTAAATATGCTGAGAGGTCAATGGATACCAAATTGTCTGGGGAAAGTGCTTGGCCTTTTACTAGATCATGTTGGGGTTTTTCCTCACATAAGAGAACCCACGGAACTATTCCTGCCCCATGAAAGGGCAATTTTGTGGCACTGTCAAGAGGAGAACCAAGTAAGATGGTGAACGATTGTTTTAGAGAAATTAAACGAGAGGGAACCAACAACACGAGTAACTCAAAAGCACAAATAATGTAAATTGTGAAAAACAACGAGGGCTGCTTTGTTTCTGGGACTTTTAAGGATCCAAACCACTGAAAGGCTTCTTTGCATCTTCTTTTTTTTTAAAAAAAAAGATCAGTATATACCGTAGGGCCTCAACAGGACGGGCCTTCAGGGTTAACAAGTGTATAAGCTTGCAGATAGAGCTGAACCAGGAGCCCTGGTCTTGTGTTTTGTCGAGATAGTCTAACTTGAAGAGAACGAAGAATCTGGCAATTATCCTTTAGATCCCCATTTAATCACAATGCCGTTATCCATCGTTCTACACGTAGGTTCTCCTGCTTACTCTCTAGTGGAGAAATCCAGGCAGCATTGTAATGTATTTCTCTTTGGGCCTTTTCCCTACCATTGTGATTTCTGTTGGACCCTTCTCTTTTCTGCTCCCGCCCAACCACATTTCCTTTCGTGCTGCAGGGGGGCACCAGAAATACAAACGGAAATGTTGGGGGTGAAAATCAGCCACAACGTAATGAACGGATGTACCATTACTGGCTTCACCGGTCACAAAATACCCCCAAGGCTGCCACCGCTCTTCAGTTTTCCTTGATTAACATCCACACTGCTGGAAAACAACCTGTGTCACATTCTAATTTGCACCAGTCTTGGAAAACCATCACCTTTTGACAGAGTTTCCTGGACTATATGTCATCACACAGCGTGCATTGTTTGGATGAGGGAGCATCAAGTGAACATGCCCTAGCTCCTGATGTCTGCTGAGCGTGATAAAATCCCTGCTTGTTTTCCTCCACCATTTCTCTATATCCAGTGCATCCCATCACACCCTCTCACTTCCAACATGCCTCCTGTAGAAGCATCTTGCCTGCAAGCACCTTCTTGTATCGAGAACCCTTTCCCACCCATGAGTTTCTTAGGACCTCCCAGTTTTGATAAAGGACACAGGCTCACAAAGAGCCTGCCAGAACTAATAAGGAAGGGAATAGACAGCCACAGGATTTGAACAGGCTTCAGTGTGCGAGGAGACATGTCACATCACTAGATTTTCCTGGCATCACTGATGGTTAATCAGCAGCATATACTGTAGTGCCTCAACAGAACTGGCCTTCAGGCTTATCAAGTGTGTAAACTTGCAGATAGACCCAAACAAATGAAGTCTCCAAAAGAGAGAACATCAGTCTCTCTCTTGTCCACCATTCTTGTGCACTGCTCTTCCACGAGAACAACTACGGTAGCAAATCACGAAGCCCGATTCATTTAGGCGAAGAAGAATAATAAAAAAGGTGAGAGTTGAGTGTGCAGGTGTACTTGAGTCTATGGACACCCACTCTTTCAGCTGGTGTCAAATGATACTTCTGAAAGTACTAGAAATAGCTGCAAAACCTGTTGTACTAGAGACCACTGCACCAAGCCCATAAATAATGTATCTTGTTTTGACTTACTATGTTGCAACACTGTCCTTCTCATTTATCTCCTACCTTTCCTCCAAGGAGGTCAAGGCAATGTAGGTGGTTTCCCTCTACAGTTTAATTCTGCCCAACAACACAAGGGAACAAGGAAGGTTAGAGTGAGAGAATGTGACTGGCATAACATCCCTCAATACGTTTTATGGCTAAAGGTAGGATAAATATATAGGTTTCCCGGGTCCTAGTCCCAGTCTCATTGTAACATCGCATGGGTCAGCCAACACATACAACACTGTGGGCAGCAGTGGCTCTGCTGCTGTTTGTGCCCTTCTGGAGGCTACTGTGCTATAGAGATCCAGAAACCTAACGTACCTGAAAAGCCACTTGGGCAGTGACAGTAAGCTTGTCTTTTTCAAACAGACCACGACTGATATATCTAAAAGTGGAATAGGTTACACAGTCTGTCAAGTGGCTGACCCTCTCTTTCACCTTGTCGGAAGGTTCTGCTTGCTGCACCGCCTTGTGAAACACAGCGTTGAATGCCTGTGGGAGGAGACGGACGAGCATGAGAGACAATAGTGAAGCTTGATTAAGATAGCAGCCCACAGCCATTGATTTCTTCCTGAACAATAACCTTGAGTGAGAACTGATACATCGGATTGATTTTTTTCAGGTCATCCATGAGGAAGTAGAGAAGGGAGGCTCTCGCTGCTACCGGGCGATAATGCTCACGAGCCTCGTTGATCTTTACTTCATTGATGTTCGCTTCCATCACCTGCAGATAAAGGAAGTTTAAATATGATCAAGGCTGGCTCAAGATATTTTGTTGCTTTCAGAAGATTTTTTTACTTCTGTATGCAGAACTGCATTGTGAATAGTGAGTATAGTGAATATTGTTCTGATTACTCAAAATAAATGGCTGCTTACTTTGGAAGTCTGAATTTTGTGATGTTCCACAACTCTACCTCATCGCAGCTAATTCATGTTAGAGGCCTGATGAATGCACAAACAGGCTGAGCACGTATCATTAGAAATGATAGCTCTAGCTTATATGTTCTAGGTTGATATGTTATGGTAATTTAATTCTTCTAAACATCGCCTGATGAATGCACAAACAGGCTGAGCACATATTACAGATGATAGCTCTAACTTATATGTTCTAGGTTGATATAGTAATTTAATTCTTCAAAACATCTCCAGTTTATGAATGTAGGATACTGTGCTTCTCAATTCAAAATGGCAAGAAATGGCCCAATATTGCTGCACAATATCATGTCCACATTGCCAGCAGGAAAAAGGATGCCAAACTTCACATAACAAAGGACAACCTGAATGTTGATGATATCCGCAGGAAAAAGGATGCCAAACTTCACATAATAAAGGACAAGCTGAATGTCAGCAACCAAGATGGTCTACAGCAGTAGTTCCCAACCTTGGTTAACCCAGGTGTTCTTGGATTGCAATTCCCAGAAGCTTTCAACACCAGTTCTTGGACTGCAATTCCCAGAAGCTTTCAACACCAATTGTGCTGGCCGTGGTTTCTGGGAGCTGCAGTCTAATAATACCTGGGTTACCCAAATTTCAGAACCATTGTCTACAAATACTTCTTGTGCTCACTACCATTCACAAAGAGACACATGGCAAAGGAAAAACCCCATAATTTGACGGCTTGAGAAGATTCAATGTGCTCACTACTACCATTCACAAAGAGACACATGGCAAGGGAAAAATCCAAGAATTCGACGGCTTCAAAAGATTCAACTCAGAGAAATAATTCCTAACATGCAATACTTAAAAAAAGAAAAAAGAAGAATTACTTTTTAATTACAAGGAATACTGTATGTGCAATATTTAAAAAAAAATAGAAGGGGCCCAAAACACAACCTAATTTAAGTTTCCTTTGTTTTATGACTTTTGTTTTTAATGGATGAAAATATTTCCTTCTGACTAATGCCTGTTTTTTTTAAACACAATGATTATACAGTTAGATTGGAGAGTCTACTATACAGCATCATACATGCTATCTGGACATACCATAATATCATTGTGACAGATAACTATTTTTATTAAATCCAGATAGAGAATACCAGGACTTACATAAATTAATCATCAGAGAAATAGCTGGTATGACAATAAAGGAAGAAATTTTTTTTAGACTGAAGAAAATGAGTTACTTTGGCATTATGATCTGCTCATTGTTATTGTAAGCTACATTTTCTTCATATTTATAATTTTACCTTAATTTCAATTTCTGCTGCTGTGTGTTTTGTTGTTTCCAGCCTCTCAACCAGAAGGGTATCCCCAAGGAAATTACTCTCAGCAGCTGAAAGGCGTGTCAGTAATTCATCTTCAAGCATTTTCAACTCAATTTTAAAATAATTTTGCTGCTTTGTGAGTTCAGACTGAAATGAAAATGGTAAGGTTGCAAACCTATAATTCAAGCACCATTAATATAGGAAGTACGCATCACTGAACTTCAAAACTTGCTGATCTCCCCAGATTTTATTATAGCCCTCATTTTTAGGGTTTGGTAATTAAGCAATGGATTAAAAGAAAAGGTGTAACGGTATAGAGTGACCTTTAATCTGAATATTATTAAGCAGACTTAAGACAAGACAAAAATAGCTAAATATCAGGCATAGAACTGCCAATAAATATGAGCTGAACATTCAGATTTATGTGTTACAATTATTTAGCTGACAGCTACCATATCTGTACATTCTGGTTGAACAGAAGAAGCAGGGAAAATTCAAAACATTTTTAAAACACATAAGTAATATTTCAGAAGTCAGAGGGATGTTTCAAGTTTGGATCAAGTAAGCAAGCGAGATAAACAGAATGATTATGTTTTTAAAAAGATCCCCCCCATACTTTTGTGCTGGATAACCTAGATATCTGAATGGGGGGCATACACTGTGTGTATGTACATTCACAATAATACATATACCCACCTTGAAGTGTTCCAGGTCTGGTCTTTCCACATTGACCACATCTGCCAACAACTGATCTTCCAAACCATCTCGTGTAACAGTGAAATTAATTAAAGTGGTCTGGGCCTGGATTTCTGGCTTATAGTGGGGATTGGCGAGCTTGGTATGAAGGATGAGCTGGAATTTGGGGTGAAATTTACACTCTTTATCTCCGACTCGAATATACCTACAAATATTAAAACATGGTAAATAACATTTCAAATATTGTCCAAAATCCAAACTTCATTTCAGGTGATGCCTTTGCTAATAATAATTACATGTTATCAAGTCAATTCTGACTTAATAGTGGCCCTTTCCAGATCTTTTGGAAGTGGCGTATCTGGGGGCACTCTTGGTTTGCCCAAGACCACACAAGCTGCCTTTATCCCAGGAGGCACAATGAGTAATTGAAGTCCCAAGTCTTGGCTCCCAGGGTGCTCCAGGTCACTGAGCTATCCGACCAGCGGATCCTTTTACTAGGTCAAAGGAACGGCCAGGCAAGCCAAGGCAAGGCAAGGAGGGCTCAACATTGTGTGTAAACTTTCTGGATAACAAAGTCCTTTCTTCAGGCATGGTGTTATAAAAAGTAGTGAGGGGAACAAGGAAACAAACAAACAAACAAAAACCAACAACAACAAAAAAAACCCAGACCAAATCTTAAAGAATTTATGTCTCCGCTTCGAAAGAACCCCAGTTATCTAGATTTAAAATCATTTTATAAATTTCCATTCACATGATGATAAGATTGATTCATTTGGTTGGCCAATCGGGATTTGCCAGGAGGATTGTTTTAAAATGTACCAGTCATGTATCACGTCACTCCTCATTGTTTCAGCATGTGTAAATGTTGCTGTCAATTTATTTACTTTGCAAAGGGGTTGGGTTTTGGGGCACTGTGGCCACTTCATGACCACTGTGCTTGTACCCCCCCTTTAAAGGAATATCAATAAATTACTAGTAGCGGACACCATCGCCACCACAAAAATAACATGAATACATTGCCTTCACTCCCTTCCTTGTGGGTGTAAGGAATTTAAAGGGAAAGATGGCTTGAATAGAGAAAGGGACATTTCCTCCTTTTAATTGTAAAGAAAGGGATGTTGCATTAATGTCTCCTCTCTCCCTTTTTTAACCCTATTCTTCACAATATGTTGCAAGTCTTTTAAAACCCACTGACAGCCATGTGTATGGGCCCAGCGGTAGATATACTCCTTGACTGCATGTAAATATGTATTGATGCAAAAAAAGGGATAAAACGAATCAATATATTAGGGTTGTTTTGGCACATGTGATTGAGCCCTTAGATGGGTTCCTATGTATGTCTGTGAGAAACAGCAGATATTCAAGCACTTCTCTCTTGGGTGTCATACTGTTGGTTTTGAACTGGAGCAGAAAATGACCAGAGTCTCAGGTGAAAACAAAGAAGTGAGGAAAAATTTGATCCTTTGTTATTGTCAATAATATATTATGAATTTTGGACCATCCCTCCCTGAAGAACTGTTCTTGTTACCTAGAAGACTTGCACACAATTCTATGCCTTTCCCCCACAGCTGGCCCAGTAAAGGTATCCTCCTAATAAGGAGTCTGGTTTAAAAGTTTGTTTATTGTCAACATGACTGCCTTGCATTCCACTCCAATTTTGCCAACGTGCGTAGAAAGTGCATCTACAGGCAACTGTGTGAAAGGCTGCAGTTGGAGGTTAGACACAGTATTTTTGAGAAAACAGAATAAGGAGGAGAAGAAATGAAAAAAAGAGAGAGACTGTTTTGTAGTCTAGGTAACTCCTACAGAATTTGTCCAAGCAGAAACAATAAATAGGGATTTCAACATTCATTCAGATTCAGAATTGCAGTCTAAATGTAATAAGTCTCAACAGGCCATGATATCCCATGCTGAAATCACAAGGGAGCAAGAAATTAAAGACTATTTTTTTAAAAAAAAATTCAAGCCTGTGCTTAAAAGTGGATCAATAGCCTGCATAAGCAGGGTTCAGCTGGTCTCAAGATTCATTCAGAAAAGAGGGAGGCAGCCAGCAGCCCAGACCCCACAAAGAAGATGTGGATTTAGATGGGAAATTAAAATGACAATGAGAAAATAACTTCAATAGATGATCACTGGAAATGTGGGCAGATATGCTTAGATAAACTTTGGTTCCTGGTTTAGCCATCTGAGGGCTGATCTAGAAGTGACACAGGGCTTAAAAGTTTTCAAATTTATTCCCGCGAGCAAATCCAATCCACGTGGTTTGCAAATTAGATTACTTTCTTTTGTAATTGGTCACCAGAAGGTAAATGAGTTCTTTTGATTGGTTATTGGGAATTTAAAAAGTACAAGTAATGCTACTGGTTTTCCAAGTAACTTAACTGACGTCAACAATTTGCACAAGGGTGTGTTCAGTGATATTTTAGTACTTTTATGTTCCCATTGATTACAACGTAAGATTAAGCACAGTGTATGCTTATATCTCTTATATAAATCAAGGGGACTTTAAAAGGCTTACATTTGGCCAGAATGTACTCATACTATGTAGACAAAAAAGTATTTATTAAATCAATATAAAAGGGGGAGCTTTGTTTCATTTTTCATATCTACCAGTCCTGACAAAGAATGCCTAACCCACTGTAATGCTCACTTTCCCAGCACTGGAAGTAACCTCCAGTTGCTACAGCAGAGAAGACATCTAGAGATCAAATCAGATGTTATAGTCAGCACATCATTAGAAGAAGAAAACATGTTTAGGGGTTCAGCCACACATCATCTTCTTCAGCATCATGTCTGAGCAGGTAGAATGTAGAATGAAGGTGGTCAGAATGAGCCACTATGAATTACTGCCATCAATATAAAATAGCTACATGGACTTATGGTCACTGTGATCCATCGTTCACTGTCCAGGGGACAGAAAGAGCCAGAACTTCAAGAACCTAATAGGATATTAAAACGTCCTGGACAAATTTTACACCATTCTCCCAAGAGGCATAGTTGATGGAAGGCTCTTTCACACAGCTCTTGTTTGACAGTCATCCGTCAGGGTTCTGGGCCTGTTAAAGAGCATAGAGACCATTGGTGCAGACTTTAAAAGTATCATCGAGTGACGATTCTCCAGTGTGATTTAATATCTGGGTAAATAGTAAAGTGACTGTCAAACTGCACTTAGGCCATTTGAGTGATACCCAGGGAAGTCTCACTACTGAGGGTAAAAAATGTAAGTACATGGAGATTATGTGAATTATCTCAAAAGAGGGCACCCAGTCAGTCTGCTGTTCAGGTATACTAACTGTATCAAAATAAAATGGAAAAGATCAGACTTGTGTTGATCTAATTACATCATATAAAAATGTCTCCAGTGAGAGAAGACACATAAAGTCTTGTGTAGAACATACTCTGGGGTAACAGAGAGATGCAGATGTTTTCACCAGACCTCGATACCTCGTCAGCAGATACCCTTTTAGCAGATCACTCTGGCTGCAGAACCAGCCCAACAAAACATTTTCATAACACGTTTTGGGTGATTTTGTTTTAACGGATTGCTGCTTGGGTTTTCTTCGGCTTCTGAACATGTTCAAAATATGGTGTTTCAACTCCTTGAGCTCCTAGGAGGGATCCCCTGTAGAAATGGGCACGAACCAGCAAAAAAGGCAGTTCGTCTTGGTTCGTGGTTCATCGACATCCATGAATCATGAACTTCTTAACTTTTCCAGAATGAACCACGAATTGGTTCATCAGTTCATTTGGGAATTTTTTTTTTTTTAAAAGACAACCCAGGCAGGCTCAGCTAAGGCAGCTTTAAATAGGCAGCCAGCATCAAGAGAAGTTGTGGGGTGAAGGGAATGAACCAGGAAGTTCGGGAAAATGCTACAAAAGTTCATGGTTTGGGTCGGTTTGGGTTCTGTTTCCAAACCAACAGAACCAACGAACTGGTGATTCTCTGGGAACTTCCTGGTTCATTTTTTGGTCATACCACACGCTTTAAACCTTTTGATCCATTTGGAAGCAACACGACAAATGGCGTTTTCTGTACTGAAACAAAGGGAGCGACAAATGCGAATTTTCTGAAAACAAAATATATTCCTTAATAGATTATTGATGCCCCCGGGGTTAGGCCTAAGTACACCTCTTGTGCTAAAAGTAGATAACTGAGAAAAAGCCATTAGCAGATGCCTCATCATATAGAAAAAGGGGCACTCTTTCTCCTGAAAGGCGTTTCATCCTGTATAGCCCAGGCATCATAAGTGCTCACTTCTACTGAAAAATGCTATGTCGAAACAGAAAAAGAGGCACGGGCTTGTAGGCATTTAAGTGACTTTCTGTGTGGAATAAAGTTGCATGTAGGAGTGACTGCAAACCCTGTCTTGCTCTGTTGGGATTCAGAAACTTGAACTAGCCATAGCCCAGATATGGTTCAGGGGGTTCCACTTCACAGGGAAACTTTTTGGTCAACACTGTCTCTAGGGCTCCATTTCCAGTTGCCCTTGCAGAAGATTCTGCTCAGGAATGGATTTTGGTGGAAGGGTTTCTAGATTCTTTCGCTGGACCCTTTGCCAGGGTAAGAAAAACTCCTGCAGGAGTTAAAAATGGAGATTGCACTCATGCAATGTTGTGAAGAAGGAGGAACCCCACCAGGTCTCTGGGAACCATATTTGGGAATATCACTTTGAGCCAAGGCTTTTTTACCAGAAGAGGCCAGACCGGTGAACTGCAACGGTATATTCTTGATAAACACAAGCAACATCAAAACATCACAAAACGCAGATACAGGGCAAAATAGGATCTGTGGGCACCAAGATTGATAAAATAATTCCTACATAGAATTGGAAACTGTGACCCCTGTGCCAATACAAACAAACAAACAAAAACAAACAAACAAACAAAAAACAAAACAACATCAAACACCCTGTGTCCGCCTGAACCCCGTGTTGTCCCAAATGTAGCCTATTCCTCTTGGGTGAGAAACCTTACCTTCTGAAGAGTGACTGTTTATGATAAATTTATTTATATTGCTGAGCTGCCTAATATGAGACCAAGAGCAGTTATCAGTGAAATAAACCTGGTTCTTTCTTAATGTGGAGCTCTGAGCTTCCCATAACCACATAACTTTCCTTTGGCGTTTTTCATCAGCTAGCAAATGGCTGTGCTTTTCAGCACATTTTCTCCAGATTGTTGTTCATCCTGAGAAATCAGGAAGAAGCATGAGAGGCTGATGACTCCAAGCAACTGCACACCAAATTTTTGGATTCTTATCTTATTATTTTTTTAAAGTATATTGTTCCGTATCCTTGGTAGATGGTTTCAGCCTAACAGAGCTGCTGATGGGAAGGAATTTAAGCTCCAGCCTCCTTCCCCTTCTCCACTAAAGCTGTTCTTCTGACTTTCAAAGGTTGCCAGAATAAGAGGCTAACCGCAATCCTCTCCAGAAGCAAAATCAAACCTTAAGATGGGCAAAGCCAGGACATGTGCTTTTGATAAAAGGTTCTTCTGAGGATAAAGAGGCACTACAAGGACAGAAGGAGACCCCTTGATCCTGTTTGGGTGTCATCTTGGTAGGGACAATCTGTCACAACTGAGCATGCCTCCTAGAGACAAGGGCGTCACCCAAATCCTCATAAACAGGCTCAGCAACAGCCTCTGCCAATAATACCTTCCATGAGGTATCCAGGACAGATCCTACAGCTCTCTTCCCCAAGGAGGTAACCAGGCAGGGAAAGACAGCCACCACATTCCAGAGATCTTTTATAATATCCAGCACTCCACTAGATAAAAAAAAAGGTTGGGGCATCAGAGTAGAATAATCCCTGATGTGAAGCTGACATTGCTTGGGTTAGTGCTGTATTTCTGTATTTCTAATGTGTTCTGTTACTGGAAGCAAAACTGGACAACAGGAGAAGGCAGGCTAGACATTTTATAAATAAAATAAAAGGGAAATAAGACCGAATCACACATAGTAATACTAGTTAAACCATTATCTAGAATATGGCTGGGGAATGAGTGGTTTAGGATGGCTCTGATCTCAGATGATATAGAGAAAAAAATGTTGTTTTATATACTCTGTTTTATATACTCTGCTCACTCTGAACTTCTAGATCAGAGTGAGCAAATTCGAGGGGCCATTTTTCCAGCCTCGGGACCCTCGACAGACGGAACCAGACTCTCCATGTGAAACCTATTAGATCACTTTCCATTTGAAATAAAGCCCACATCAGAAAACAACGGCGGTGATGACAAAAAACCCAGCAACAACAACCATAGATTGTCTGCTATAACAAGATGTGGTGGGCTTGGAGGAGAATTGAGCTTCCCTGGAAACTTGATTCTCCCATTTTTTAAAAAATGAATTTGGCAAAATCAATCAATCGATCAACGTTTTTGAAGTTTTGAAATTGTGGAGTCTTCGGGGGCTAAACAAACAAACAAAAAGGCCTGGTGGGAGTTTCTCCACCCAGGTTTAGAAAATGCCTCAGTTTAAGCATGAGAAGTTTGGTTAATGTCTCTGCCCCCCACTTCTGTTTTGGGTCAATTGACAGAAAACCAATCTGCTTCTGCCAACAACAGCAGAAAAGGATGGGCTCGCCGTGAGTATTTTGTCAAAGCCATTCAAGCAAGACCTCCTCTCGCCTCTCTGTGCCTAGGGCAGTGTTTCCCAAACTGTGCACCATGACTCTGTGGGGCACCAGGGAACCCACCCAGGGGTGTCATGGAATCCTCTCATCCTTCCCTGCTCCCTTCTCCCCCCCTTCCAAAGTATCATACAACACATATTTCCATTTTCTTTAGTGTCCCTGCAGAGTGACTGGCCCAGTCTTCCCAAAGGGCTGGGTTTCCTGCCCTCCTGTTTGCAAAGGTGCCTTTCCTACCTACCCACACTCCAGAAAAAAAAGGTAGATTCTCCCTTTTACCTGGAAGCTGCTCCCCTCAGAGAGGTCAGGTCACCAGTGTGTTCACAATTATTTTATTTTAAGTAAAGGTAAAGGTAAAGGTTCCCCTTGACAATTTTTGTCCAGTTGTGTTCGACTCTAGGGGGCGGTGCTCATCCCCGTTTCCAAGCCATAGAGCCAGCGTTTTGTCCAAAGACAATCTTCCGTGGTCACATGGCCAGTGCGACTTAGACACAGAACGCTGTTACCTTCCCACCGAGGTGGTCCCTATTTATCTACTTGCATTTGCATGCTTTCGAACCGCTAGGTTGGCGGGAGCTGGGACAAGCGACGGGCACTCCCTCCGTCGTGTGGATTCGATCTTATGACTGCTTGGTCTTCTGACCCTGCAGCAGAGGCTTCTGCGGTTTAGCTTTCAGCGCCACCACGTCCCTATTTTATTTTAAGGGGCTGTGAATAAGTGAAGCTGTGGGAATTGATCCTGTAGATACGGCAGTCCTGTTGTACTGGGGAGCCACAGCCAGGGGCTAGTAAGTTACGAGAGACGATGGTTAAAGAAAGGTTGGAAACCACTGGCTGGTGTTTCTTTCCTTGTTTGGGGTCTCTTGTTTTACTTTGGCCAATAGCAGATGCCTTATGCATGGGAAAATTTAAACCACTTTTATAAACCAGGGAGAGGTAAATTGTGTGATAAAAGGTAAGAAGGTATGAAGTAGAAATTGTTTATAGCTGGAATTGTGCATAATTTTTTTTTACTTAAGAAATAACATTACCTCCCCCTTTTCAGCATGTGTCTCCCAAGAAGAGGGTCCAGCACAGGATCAATGGTCTCCTCCAGGTTTTCAATTAAAACTGTATATCCTGCCACAACAGCTTCTTCCAAGGCATCAACATACCTATAAAAACCCACAGAAAGATAATTAGTGAAGTTCTTTACACGTCTACTGAAAGGTAATGCTCACAGAGTTAAATGAGATTTACTCTCAGATAAATTTGTGCAAGATGACAATGGAAGCAAATGGAAGCAAAACACTTGAAAGGAGAAATGGGACAGACATTTGAGAAAGAGCATGCTCAAAGGTTTTCGCTTTCCTGTGCACCCGACAGGAAATAGGAAAAAATCTTGGTAGGGTTGGAATTTTGGAATTTTCACAAAGGAAAAAAATAAGTCTGTGACTACATGATCAAAAAACATTGAATTTGCTGCAGTTATAATACAGGCTGATTCAAAGTATTCCCCCCCTCCCCCGATCACACAACACAAAGGCTGATTTGAATTGGTCTGGCCTTTTCTGCTCCTGCCTAGGGCGTCTACTTTTTTTTCAAGCCAGAATGATTTGAACAGACTTTTCCCCACATAATCAGTTGATTAATTCTTGTAAAGGTGGGAGGTGTGTCTGTGGGTGGTGTTTTGATGATGTAGGCAGGTGTGGCATGATATTCAGGAGTCCAGAAACATCCACCCCTACATTCTTTCCCCTGACCCATTTTTAATTTTTTTTAAAAAAACATACATGACATAGTGATAATTCACCTCATCACTAGTTTACCACAAGATCACTTCTAGATGAGGAGAGAAAAAAATTACAGAAAGAACCCAGAAAAAAACAGAAGATGTTCCTGTGGTACGTGATATTTCTGTAGACATGAAGAAGAACTTGTGAATGCTACCATCTTTTCCAGTATATTGTACAACCCTTTCAAAACCAAGCAGCTTGATAGCAAACCATAAAAGGGTTGGTAGAGGCAGGGTTAGAGACAAAAGAAAAAGGAGGGGAGTTGTGGACTGAAACGTGAATTGCTTTGAGTGTGAACACTGACATCTCAAATCAATCTGCAGCTCCTGTGTGACTTTGGATGTAATAAAGTCTGCGAATCAAATTGCAGCAACATCGAATCAGAGCAATTCGGTTTGCCAGTTTAGTCGAAGCCTAAAACAAATTTATCTGCTACAGTTACTAGAATGCAACGTTTCTTAAGAGAACTGTGCTTATTTTGAATTTAAAACAATCATTCTTAAAATGTTGTGTTTATTTTTTTTTTACATTAAATTATGAACTGAGGTTCTTTTTTAAAAAGAGGGTTGGATGAGGGCAAAATAGAGGCAAGGTGGGGGATTTTCTCCAAAATTAAAACAAGGAATCATCGCACGGAAAAGTTTGGGACTTTCCTGAGGTATTTTGTTTAAACTTCATTGACCTCCTTGAGTGCAAAGAAAGCAACAAGCCTAGAACGAAACAGCTGGTATGTACAACTTCAATGGCTCAGAATGTTTTTTATCCCGTTAACAGCCGTAGCTGCCAACGAGCGCTTACCCTTTCTGACTCAGATGGATAACTTTCAAATCTGAGCCATATCTGCTTTTTATCCATTTGATCCCCTGGTGCTGGGGGTCAATCAATAGAGGCCAGCGTTCACAGTTTGTAAGAATAGTGGCATTTTGTGTGGACATGGTATCACCAGGCAAGCCTTCATTGTTCCATTTAGCAATTGTTGCATCATCCGTCAGCATTGAGATCGGATCAAGACCTTCAGTCATTGGAATGGGGACCTAAAATAATAAAGGTTAACTTAAAAATGACTAGTTCCAGTGATTCATTCCCATGACACTCCATTTCCACTTATGTCTGCCTGGAGTCTCGGACGGTGAGAAGGAGAGTAACAGCGTCAACAACAGCATGAAAGGCTTTTGTGCAGTGAGTGTACTCATTTTTCAAGGCAAGGGAGGCATATAGGTTTATAAACATTGTTTATGCTTAATTCCATACACAAAGCAAATAGTTCTATTATATTTACATTTATATTTAAAATATCTCCAGTCACCACAACTGAAAGCACAGAGGAGTGAATTGAATATGCTGGTCACAGTCCGAATTCCATGCATTTAGGGGCCACTTTCACATCAAGTCACCCACGCACCCCTACTCTTCCATTCTAAGATACACGGATCTCTACATAGAAACAGCTTCCATTTGCCCATCAACCAGTTCATAAAATGGAAACCTACATGCCCGCAACAAAGCCAGTCCTATCACCAAGTAGAGTGAGAAAACAGCAACTAGTGGGTGTTGGGAGGAAGCAGTTGAAGCCATTGCCTTTTCCTCCTGAGTCCTGGCTCCCCCCACCCTTGTGTGGGAACCGAGCTGTGCAGACTACATAACCCATCTGGGTCCTTCAAGCAAGCCTTCTGCCCAATGAGTGGTGGCAGATGGTGTCTCCAATATTCAATGACCAGACCACTTGGGATCTGGAACAAAGACCACACACCATCTCTTTTACTTCAGGCAGGCTGGTCTTCAAGAGTTTGTGCAACTACTAGTTGTCTTTGGACAGCAGAAGAAACTATGTCTTTTTATTATGCACAGAGATAGGCCAAATGAAAAGAAATCCTCAATTTTCAAAGTTTCCAAAAATACTCCTCTTTCTCTGATGCTACCATGAAGAGATCCGAATATTCTTCTATCAGTTCTAATTTAAGCACAGTTCACCATTGGCTGAAATCCAGCCAATGAACCTCCTCTAGTTGGAACTTCCTCCAGGATTCCAGCCACTGTCTCTAAATCCTAAGTCAGTCCTTCTACAGCTTGCTCAAATAAGCTGTTGCAGAGCATGTGGCTTCGAAATAATTTGTTTCAAATAAAGTGTGGTTAAGGTTGACCAAAACCTTTTGAGTTGGGATGACACAACATGCTGCAGTTAATCAAAAATGGAAAGAGGAATGTAGAATCCCAGGACCAGTTTAGGCTTCTTCCCATTATGATAAACCATGGTTTATTATGACATCTAAAGATAGCCATTCCATGAAAAAATAACCCCTGATCCTTGAATTTACAGAGGTTGGGCCTGAAGACAATAGCAAAAAATGGATCACTCTGGTCAACTGGAAGTTGAGTGATGGCAACTGGACTTCTTTCTTGTTAGGTTGAAATGTTTCACTACTCATCCAAGTAGCTTCTTCAGTCTGGTCAACAAAATTCATTTGTATGTCTGAAAATGGCCAACAGCAAGGCAAATTAGGGTGAATATAGAAAGTTTATGATAATATTTAAAATGTTAATCTGGTTGCAAACCTATAAAGTAAATATTTAGTTGGAAAATGTTGCTAAATGGTTGCCTACCCCCATAAAGGCATAGATGTACAGTGGTGCCTCGCTTAACGGGCGCCTCGGTTAACGACGAATCCGCATGCGACGGATTTTTTGCGATCGCAAAAGCGATCGCAATGTGATGTTTTTAATGGTAAAAAATCACTTTGCGATGATCGGTAAGCTGTTTCGCTTACCGATTTTCGCATAGCCATGTTTTAAAAACAGCTGATCGGCGGTTCCAAAATGGCCACCGGGTAAATAAAATGGCCGCCTGCAGTGTTTTCACACCCTTTCCTCGCTTACCGGGGTTTAATGCATTCCTATGGGCTTTTTCATTTCGCATAGAAACGAATCTGGATAGCGACGATTTTTTTGGAACGGATTATCGCCGCTATGCGGGGCACTACTGTATATAAATTTTAAACACACATGAATGTTTTTTTTAATTATAACAACTACTGCAGTGTGCTTACTTAGGTAACGTCATATCTGTTTCTAGCAGTATTTTTCTATCAGCTGTGTACTGTTCTTCAGCAACAGAAAGACAGTTTCTCTTATATGGAACTAGAGTCATGTTTAACAGTCACATTGGGAAAATCTTGGTCACGCGTAAGACTGTGCAAACAGTAACATGTGTGTTTTTCTCTCTGTGTTCTTACTCCAGCCCTTTCTTCCATTTGCATTTTACTATATAAAAAACGTGGGAGACAGTTTTTATTTTAGAAAATATGCATAATAAGGAAAAAACTACAATAATAGAAAGCAAACTCCATAAATTTAAATAAAGGGAATCCACATTTCCAAAAAGATTGCTCACACAAAATCGTCATCTACAGTATCTGCCACATGTTCAAAATGCTGCAAAGTATGTTTTTTTTTAGCCACATGAAGGGCACAGAGTACCCATTTTCAATGGATTCACCAGAAAGTTTAATTGTATAGAACATTGTTAGGAAAAAAATGTATCAGTCAAAGGGTCATTCTCCATAAGACACAAATGGGTGTCTCTAAGCATGCATGAATGCAAAGATCCCTTAAAGAAAAAAGCCACCTAAAAATAGTTACTTGCAAAACTGGGGGTCTGCTGGCTGGAATGGAATCAATCACCACTAGCTGGTGAATTCGCATTCAGGTTAAAGTTCAGGGGAACACAACCTGTTCGGTCCCAAGGACTCCATCTGCTGTCAGCTGGGAAGCTGGGGACAGACTGTACATGTGCATGCACTCACATGCACATATGCACACACACACACATGCACAGAGGTCCTCTATAGCCCGAAACATGTGGGGAGGTTGCCACCCCTCTCACATGCCACCTGCTGCGATCTAGGAATTGCTTGGGAGAGGAAAGCCTCTCTCTCCTCCACCCCCCCACCCCAGTGATCTTCCATACAAAGGGCTAATAAGGACAAATTTATAATCAAACTCATTGAAGAATATGGTCAAGGATCAAGCTTAACTGGAAACTAGACAAGATGGTGTCGAACCGGAAGAATGTACTAAAACCAATACTGGACTATTTGTGGAAGAAACAAGATCTTTTTTTTCTTGCCACAACAAAGCATCAGCTAGTAAACTATGTTCCTCACGTGTAGGAAAATAAATGGTATTGCCATGAGCTTTAAGTATGCATTTGTCTAACGAAGGCTCCTAAAGTAAGATTTTTACCAGCAATACAGAAAAGCATTGGTATTTTCTGCATAATGTATAATTTTTTAAAAATAATAATCTTAGAAACCTTTTGTCTATGGATGATTGTAAGTTCTAGCTTACCTTTTGGCTTCTCAAAAAGGGCAGCCACAGATTTTGAACCAGCTCGTGCCGATACCCCCTTGCAAATGGCCCAGCATAGGAAATAAACGCTGCTGTCAGAAGCACATCTCCACAGAGTGTCTTCTCTTGTTCACAGTATTGCGCTACCGACTGAGCCCATCTCACATTCTCTGACTAGAATGCAAAGATCACAGGTTAATTTTGCATGCTTTCGAACTGCTAGGTTGGCAGGAGCTGGGACAAGCGACGGGAACTCATTCCTTCGTGAGGATTCAGTCTTACCACTGCAGATCTTCTGACTTTGCAGCACAGAGGCTTCAGCTGTTTAACCCGCAGCGCCACAATGTCATTGATAAGCACTCTCTGGGTACCATCCTGCAACCAATGGCATATCCACCTGACAATTGTTCCAGATGGCAGTCACAAACAGGGTGTCAGCAGAATTCTTAGCTTGTTATAAGGGGAAACACTGTCCCTAAGATTCTGGACTACGCCCATTTAGGAATTTAACGTTCAATGATATAAGTACAGTAGGACCATGGGATCTGCAGGGGATTGGTTCCAAGCCTACTCCCTGTTGATGCCATAAATGGCATATTGCAGACTCTATATAGTATAGTCTTTGGTTCCCTCCAGTTCTGGCAATACACCTTGGAAATGTGTATTACTGGGTTTTTTATTAATATTTTCAGGCAGTGGATGAATGAAACCGGGAGTACTGATCCTGTGGATATGGTGGTCCTCTTGAATATCAAATTGGTTCTGAAAACAAGCTGAAACCTAATGAAGAGTACTTTAACAAATAACAAACCATGTCAGCTTTCACCTATATATACAGTCTGGCGGCTACCTTCTGAAGTTTCTAGACCAGCCTTTGAAGCTCCTGTAGAGTGTGCTATAGTAACCGAAGGAACAAGCTCCCAAGCTATCAGAAAAGTCTTCTAATGCAAATTATTGCACCTGAGGCTAAGCCAATTTACCCAGGATTTTGGTTCTAATGTATAAAGGCTCCTCTTTATATATTACTTAAATAGGACTGGTCAGTTCCTTCTTGGAGCACAACAGTGAAATGCCGACTTCGCTTGCTCATTATTCACCTTGAAAGAAACATCTCAACAGCTGGAAAAAAAGAGAAAAGAATGATCCAGTGGCTCATATTTTTTTTTCCTTTGTCGGCTGCAATGGTATACTGGTTTCTAGTGAGTACTGGGAAGTTATGCTCTAAATCTAAGCACCCGTTCAAATACTGATGGTATCGACCCAGTGACTGCCTTGTTTTCTGTGGCTGCTGATCCAAATGAATGCTTGAATTTGCATTATGGCACCCCAAGTCTAGCGCTTGGTAGTTATAAATAGGAATATTACTTTATTGGTGTAATGAGTACTCTTACAGACGCTTCAAAAGTTACTTTCAAACAGCACCATAAACCATTGGCTGCCCTTGTTTTAGAATATCATCACCATCAACAACATCAATATCCTCCTCATCGCTGCTACCACCATCCGTTGTTATTAATAGTATTATTATTATCTATCTGTCCTTAATACATGCAGTGCATACATGAGGAAAAAATAATATAGAACTAGCCTATTCCTGAAGCCCACATCATACTGGACCCTTTGTAATCAGGGCCAGCTAGCTATCTTAAGCAAGATTTGAAGGTTGTCCCGCAGCATCTCAGACTCGTAGCACCTTAAACGAAAACCATGCGTGTTACAAACACCCAAGGGTGCCATTCCTCTTCTTTTTAAAATTTTCTTGGACATGTTAGTAGGTAACCTTGCAGTTAAAATATACGGTAGCGAGACAAAATGTAAGAAAATATAAAGGTCAAAAACATGGTTCCTTTATGGGGGGGAAAAATGAATGATAATGACATAATTTTTTTTTCCGGCTCATCAGGTTCTTTGCTAAGTGCCTCTGTTATTGTTACATCATGAGTGTATAACAAAGGCCTGCTTTCTGTCGGCTGCTTCATTAGTCTGCCCTGTAGGACCTCACCTCTAGACCTTTCACTAATCTGTTGGCCAGCTCAATCGTCTTGTTAGTTCTATTCACTTCTTCCTGGCAGTGGATTTTCTCAGCTGTCGCCCCCTCCAAGGCGGTGGTGAAGGCAGCCAGGTTTGTGTCTAGTTCCTTCAAATAAAAACAGCAAGAAACAAGGTCTGGAGATTGCAGGGAGACAAGGAACAAGAATATCGCTTCCATCTTATTTTTTACATTTGCAGGAAGTTCAATTATATTGTCAGGAAAAAGAAGTAAACACATTTGCTGTTAGAAACGCTCAGGTGTTCTATAATTCACACAGTCAAAAGAGGCTAGTTGTAGCATTTCTGTAGTTTGCCCATATCTGCAGTCTTTCATTCATTAAAAAAAAAAACCCTGGACCTACTAGAGTCACAAAACCCAATTTGTGCCACTTTTCAAAAAGAGTCCCTTCTTATCCATTCATGCCCCATTCAGCTGGTCTCAATGAAGTGAGCCAGTCATCTAAGTAAGCTAGAAAAAAGGCCCCTGTCCTATTAACCAGCAGTCCATCTTCATATCAGGTGAAGTGCTCAAAGAAGAAGTTGCATACTTGCTAGTTGGGACTGGGCTTTAAAAGGAAAAAAAAAACCGAATCAGGAATCAAAGCTCCCAGATATCCTGTACAGACTATGCCAAATAGTGGCATGTTAAGAATAACAATAGCAGGCACTATTAGGCAACGGAGACATTTCTTGCTTCAAATGTTATTTGAAGGGAATATAAAATAAATCTTCCGCTTGTGAAGATTAGAAGCCCATCTCCTTGTGTATCACTGGAGGCGTCCTGACAAGTAATTCGTTTGCTCTGTAATTAATGGATAGGGAGACAAAGGGGGAATGGGAGAGACAGGAAGACAAGGACTAGAACTTGACAAGGCATCAGCTTTGTAATTAGAAGGGGATAAAACATCATGTCTTCAAAAATATGATTGTTCAAGGAGACTGAGCAATCAACCGGCAAATGAATTTCTCCTGTTCTCTAGTTTGTGACTTCTTCTGCAGCTGAAAAACTTTGCTCTAGGAATAAGCAAATAAATTTAACCTCTTACAGAAGCTGCTCTGCTAATGACATGATCATTATTACACTGTCTGTTTTGAGACGCACACAGACAGAGAGAGAGACAGACGAAGACAGAGAAGCACTGCTTTGACTCTGGGATTTGTGGCTTGGAATGTTACAAAAAGGATCTTTAAAAATATTGCAGAGTATGGATTAAGGAGTGGATAACATTGGAAAATACGAGGCTCTTGAAATTAGAAGGATATAATTTGAAATGGGGATGGCATGCATTCTTATGGTATAATAGGACTGAGGATTTTAAACAGTTTAACAACCATATATTAAGGAAGGCACTTCTGTCTTTCTGATATTCTGTATCAATATCGATGATACCAGAACTATTCCTATTAAATATCTTGCCAGATATACTATACTCTGAAAAATCATTCTTAACTATTCATTTTATAACAGCAGCAAGAATAGTTTTTGTGAAACACTGGAAGGAACCTAGAACACCACAGATAGATGAAGTGATAGACAAAATACTTGAAACTGCAGAAATTGAGATATTGTCAGATTGGCTAGATGCAAAAAAAGAAAAAAAAGACCATCAGAAAATTTGGTTGCAATTATATACATGGTTACAAGGTAGATAGAATAGTGGAATGATACATAGTTATATGTAAGGCTGCAGAAGAGACAGAATAAATGATGGATAAAGACTATCAGCTACATAATCAATAATTAGAATAACAATATATCTGTCTGAATTTGATTTTTCCCTCTCACACACTATCTATATTTCTTTATGAACTATTTCTAGAAGATAAAGTATAGAATTACTATGAAAAGTATTGATTTGTAATGTATCCATTCAAATCCACCCCCTCCAAGGGTACCCTTATCTCAGCTGCTCCTTACCTTACCCTACCTTTATAAGGAAAAAATAAAAATTAAAATTAATAATTAAAAAAAATTGCAGAGTTCAAATTTTTTACAGGTACGGTTTCCCCCTTTCTATTTTGACCATCCAGAGAAGAGGGGAAACAAAATATAGTGGTGCCTCACAAGATGAAATTAATCCGTTCCACCGTTAATGCTGTCCAGCGAAAATTTCGTCTTGCGAAGCACGTTTTCCCATAGGAATGCATTGAAATTTAATTAATGTGTTCCTATGGGGAAAAAAGTCAGAAACAAAAAAAAAAGTAAAATAAAGTCACTTACCAGGTACTATAGACTGAGCCCGGCTCCTCACAGTGCCTTGTTAGCCCCCGAAAAGCCGGAAAAAGAGCATGAAACAGCTGAGAGCCTGGACCCAACAGGGAGGCAGCAGCCATTTTTTGCTCTTCTCCATTCCCGCCCCCCTCCCCGCCAAACAGCTGAGAGCCCGGACCCAGCAGGGAGGCGGCAGCCATTTTGTGCTCTTCTCCACTCCCGCCCCGCCTCATAGCTGATCTGCACTGGGTCTTAGGCTTCCCCGGGCTAGGCAGGGAAAAAGAGCTGGAAATTAAAAAAATGGTGCTTTCCCCGGGGAACCCTCTGAAAGCAGTGCTTTGCCGTAGGGGGGGACCTCTGAAAGCAGCGCTGGGTGGAGGGGTGGCGTGCCTGCCCCCCTGGCAAAGTGCCACTTTCAGAAGCCTCCCGGGGCTTCATCTTGCGAAGCAGGGCCATAGGAACATTCGTCTTCTGAGGCACCAAAACCCTAGCCAGACCCATTCGTCCATTGGGTTTTTTGTGCCATGAGGTGTTTGTCTTGTGAGGCACCACGGTATCATAATATATGAAGACTGCAAGAGTAGACTTCTATAAACTTTTAACATGAGCAAATGTTTAAATGCTTAAGAATTTGCTAAGGCGAATGTCTGACAGTTTCTGTGAGACACAGGAATAGTTAGGATAGCTGCTTCTATGTCAAGCAATGACATGTTCTAGATCCTGCGATTGAGGCATAATTTTATAACTTCCATTCTAGACTTTTGGCCTAGTTGTAACCACAAGGGGTAAAAAAAATAAAAATAAATCCCAGAGGATGTGGAAAATTCTGCTTGTGATTAATGAATGGGAGGAATAATTTGAGTTCATCTAAGTAAAAAAATATGACCTGTGGAATGCTGCCAGAAGCAGGAAACCCTCTGGTGAGTTGGCGAGAAAGAGCTGTTTAGGGACGTGAAATTTGCCTTGGGGGCAGCATTGACTTACCTAAGCAATTTCCTTAAGATTTCACAGTATGAAATACGAGCAAAGGAAAGGTAGGCGACTCCATCTTGAAGAGCGCTGATCCTCTTTGAGGTTTCTTTGAATTATTTGCTCAGCTTGACTTCTCCTTCATAAAATGGTAAGCTGGGCAGGATAGATACTCAAAGTGGAAGTGAGAATATACTGCAGCCGAATAAAGAGGGGTGGGTAGCAAAGGAGCATGATTTGCTGAAAAAGACCCAACGGGGTCAATGGTGAAAGCAAAGGGAAACACAGAGAGAGAGAGAGAGAGAGAGAGAGAGAGAGAGAGAGAGAGAGACTTGATTGTCCCACAGGACACTGGCTCATTCTTACCACCAAATATTGGCAAATTGCTCCCTCAGCTATGACCTTCCCAACTAGGATGGTGGGGAACACAACTGATTTGTATTTTGGTTTATGTATTTTATGTTGTAGTTTATAATAATAAAAAACAACTAAAAGAACAACAACTATGGCCTTCTTGTTCAGTCCTGATTGTGACTTTGTTTGATTCCAAGTATACACAAACAGAACAATGCTATATATGTCTACTCTGAAGTAAACCCATGGAGTGTATTAGGAATTAATTCCAGGCAACTGAGAATAAGACTGCACCCAAAGCCAAGAGGCAGTTGTACCCCTTCGCCATCCCAGACTGCGACCACTTCCCAGGTACTGCTTGACAGAGAGATGGTAGCTCCCTTTTGTAGCTTCCCCAGGGTGAAAAGGGAGAGGCCACTGGGATAGTAGAGTCTGCCTTGTAAAATTACATTATATTTACAGGAAGTGTAAATTCATTCTTTGTCTTGTACAAAGAGATCTGTTTCCTGTACAGAGTACGTACAATTTGGCTTGGCCTAATTAGTGCTTAAATCAAACAACGTTGCAATGCTGTGCCTATTTCCCTGATTGCAAACTCTATTGAACCCTGTCAGATTTACTCATGAGTAAACATGTCCAGGACGACCCCTGTTGATGAGCTTATTGTACCGTTCCCCTTCCTTTTCTTGAATTATCCATAAGACACGTCCGTCCTCTTGCAGTTTGTGCATATCAACGCGATTAATTTTTTTAAGTGCCCAAATCTCGCTCACTCGCTCTCTTTTAAAGCATTGCCCTTTTCAAAACAAGGGGAAATTCAGTATAGTTTCCATGCCACAATGATCAAACAGTGTCACATCACTATGGCAATGGGTGCCCAGGCCAGGAATACAGATCAGCTTTAATTGTGCAATGCCTTATTGCTGGTGCATGTCAATCAGAACCTATGAATTGAGAAAAATTTGCTCTGTTCATTCTGTTAAATGATGTATCCAATTAAACCTGTTAGAATTCATGATCTTCAGTCAAGGTTAAATGAAAGTAGTTACTCCTGTCAGCTAGGTGATTAAATGCTGCCTACATCAGACACATTTATGTGCAAAATTAAAATTTTGGTATAAAGCAGGAATCTTTATGCATGCCAGTTAATTATCTTGCAGTTCCTTCCACTTATTAAATGCCCACTGCATTCCTTCTTAATCATTAGCTTCCTTTCAAAACTTGTTTCAGACTCTACATTATACCAAATTTCAATGTTTAAATGAAATGCTCCATAAATGAAAACTTCCTCTTTTCAAGAATTTGGCTGTTGCTACGCTACTGAAAGATAACTGCGTTATTAACAGTCTCCCCTCCACCCCACCCCCACCCCTATTCATTATGCAAAAGATCTGTTTGTGTTGTGCTCCAGAATTCTGAGCCACAGTGATAGGAATCCCTCGTGTTGCCACAGCCTGCTGGTCATTTTTGCTTTCTTTAAATCTACCTGGGGCTTCTCTTCTTTGCCAGCCAAAAACATTGAGGTAGTAACATGGAGCGCTACAATATCACAATCAACCGGGCAACAAAAA